TTATTCTACAAGAAAAGTCTTTCTGTCCTGGGGCCCCTCAGACACTTGAATTGATAAAGGACATACAAAGGTATACAAACAACAAAAGTCTGGTTCAGCAAAACCACTGATATCAAAGTGAATAGGATTCAATAGAAGTAAATCTAGGAGTTCCAACGTAAATCATTTAAAATGAAAAACGCGGGTTACTTGATAACCCGATAGATTAAACGGGAGAGTCACTCAGGGCAGTCTAAATTTAGGGTTGACCCAGGAAAATCAGGTGAGTTAGCAATATTTTATTGATCAATAAACAAATTATCATGAGAATTTTAAGACGATTAGCAATGTAACTTAAGATAAAATATAACCATGAATTACATCACTAAAAAACGGTCTTTTAGAAGTTTTAAAATTTCTGTTTTATTTAAGACTTAAATATGAGAAAAAATTTCCTATCATTTAGGATCTGAAGATTTATAAATCAGTAAATCTTAATTTCAAAGAATCTGTAATTAAATCATTCACAAGATACAGGAGATTGGACTATCATGAATTTACACAGTAGGCGGGAGGTATACATAAAAATGTGTGTAGACTATCCATCACACAGATACTATAAACCAACTCTTCAAACTGCTGAAATATCACATATACACAACAACAACTACAGGATGTTTTCATGTGATTATCATCAATCTTTACATTTTATCTATCACTTTGGTCAACACTGGTAAGTCACCCACATAGAGGTTGGTTTAAAGTCAAGATGAGCAAGGTAAACAAAGGAATGTAACAATATCAAATAACCGTTAACACATCAAAGAAGGAACGAGGGTTCAAACAACAAAATTCAAATTTTGGTAATACTGTACAAATAGTGTATATATATATATATTACAAGTCAACAGAATAACAGCTACAGGAATATATACACGGGTAACAACTTGATATTATATTCTGTCATGTACAAACTTAATAGCTGCTTGTTCTAGTTTGATAAAAAAAAAAATCTTGGATTTGTATATTTTAAATTAACCTTTCATAGTCTGAGTCACACAGATATTTGTTTAATTATCAAAGATTTCAGGAAATTTTATGACTTTTCCTATGACAAAAGATATATGTATTGTATACTCAATACTAAGTTGAAACATTCCATCAAGTCAACCTAACATTCAATGTAAAAATAAAAGTTTTAAAATCCGATTAAATTTTCATTCTGATTAATGACATTTTAACAAAATTAAAATATATTATTTTAAAATAACATTTTAACTTGTTTATATTCAAAAACCTAAGTAATTTATTGTTTCCAAAACACAAACATTTGGCTCATAATTTTGATATTTTGTTTAGGAGGATATACAGCAAAGTTGTATACACGAAATAGTAAACAATTACTGAAAATATTTTTGATAACAAAGGTGCAAAGAAAACTATGATTACTGGCAAAACTAAATGTGATACAGCTAGTTTATACATTTTAAAAATATTTTTGGTAGAGCCTGGAAATGCTACAACTACTCTACAGTTCTTCAATCTTTATCGCTACAACCTTACATGTACTTTGCCTAAACTTTATAAAATTATACTGTGCATTTGGCTCAACTGCTTGATTAGTCACAATCTGTATCGTGCATATATATAGGTAAATATGGAGTTATCACAGCAATCATGATTCAATAAATGTTTAATTATATTTACTTATGAGCATTCTATCATAAAAAACAACTTATCATTTTATTGATGAATATGTAATAAATTATACTTAAACGGTAAAAACTTTAAAAAAAGATATCTATTCTAACACAGACATACTTAAACATATCATTTTTGTTCAATTATTGTTAAATTAGACCCTGTTAACGTTAAATGAGAAGAAAAGATCCTGATATCAATGTGATTTAAACTATCCACATATATGCATTAAGTAGCGTCTTGAGCTAGGCAGTTATAGGGAGACCTTAAAAAGATACAATTTGGTAGGTTACAAAGACTTTTTACTGATGAACATATCCTGTAGCCAATTTACATAAAATTGGTAAATTTTTTAATAGCAATCTGCAGTCGCTGACAGGCAAATGTTTTTAATTGAAAAAAGTACATTAAAGTTTTGTTTTCCAAAAACTAGGACACCAGTATGCTATTAGCAAAGATTTGCATTAAGCACTATTAGTCCAAGAATGTATAATTTTTTGCAGTGATGTGGCATTTTATGTAGTAAAGTACACAGGTTATCTGTGTGTACTGTAATGATAAGATTTGAAGTGACTTGCTAAAAACTTGTTAATAAATTAAAAAACAATTGAGTTAATAATAAATGCATGAGTTAACATCAGGATCTGTAAGTTTTGATACAGGCAAGGACGAGGCAAATATCTACCAGGTAATTTGTGATGATTAACTCCCTTTCGTAACATGTCTCCAACACAATGTACAGGAAGCTATAGGCACAAAAAAAACTCTTAACATTAACAGTGATATTGAAGGTATTGAGAAAACAAAGTTTTGTTCATTTAGAGTTTGTAATTGTTCATGTATGTTAACCTAGATTTTAATATCTGCTTTACAAGAAAGTTCTAAGCTATATTTCGTGAACTTTAACTCTGACATGGTTGATTATTCTGCGATACAGTTAGCATGTACCACACTGATGACTCTCAGATTAATCTGAAATATCAAATAGCCGGTACTTAAACTTTCAAAGGGAGATAACTCTGAAACCAAATCACACTTAATACAATATAAGTGAAAATAAAACTTAAATATGTAATTACTCACTAGTAATATCCAGTTTGTTTCATGTGTTATATGAATGTTGTATTTGGTCATTTTCACTTGGATTAAAAGCATCACTGATAATTATGTACGAACTAAAATACAAACATTAACATTAGCCATTTTATAACACTGATATGTATATAATTTGTACTACTTGGTAAGTATCTTTTGAGAAAGCTAATGTAAGATCTTGACAAACATCATTCTAAACAAATTTCTGTGCATTTTCCAACACTAATTGTTCAAATTGAAATAAGATGAACATGAGACGTTTGTCTACCATGTAAAATAACAGTATATAGTTTGATGGTATTGAACTAAGAAATGATATAAAGATAAAACTGACACAAGTAACAAAATCTGCTATCCTGACATTACATGTTTATATTATTTAAGAAATACGTCAATAACATTCAGTTATCTCTTTCACATTCCAGATTCTTGCAAACAAATTGAAACACAATAACATACATCAGTGTATTGTATGCTAAGTTTATTCCTACTGAAGGTAACATTTTTGAAAGACATTTTTTTGTTATGGTATATTGTTTTAACTGGAAAAAAGAACCCCTTGGCTAAAATGGAATATCTCTAAGTTATTTTCTTCCTATGATTATACAGAGTTATGGACATTAAACAATGCCAATATCTTTTCCAATGCATATCAATTTAATGATAAATGTTAACCTATTATTGCAGCAATTTTCCTTAACAATAAGCTCCTGCCTCATCTGTTTCTCCAGGCACAACTAGTTTGAGATCTAATGCAAATAAACAGCTATTCAAACATACAACCACTAAAAGACACTGAACACTTTGAAGAATACAAGTTTGTCATATGTAGCTGAACAAATGAACACAATGATACAAGTAATTTTAATTTAGTTCTAAATTTTCAAATTTTAACAAACATTTAAATCCACTGTATGAAGAACCCACCATTAAAAAGTTAAGATCATCATTTCATTATCAGACTGTTGACACAAATGTTTATAGCTGAACAGAAATGTAAAACAACTTAACCAGTCAATAACTCAAACTTTAATTCTTAGTGAATCAAGAGTTTTATACATTACTTCCATCACACATGTAGCAGCAAGAGATCCCTGAGGAATCTTGACTCCCACCTATGAACAGGTTGTGTAGACTACTCCCCATTCTCCCTCCCCCTATTCCTCATTCTCCCTTGTTTATGCAATACAAAGACAAAGCATCAGATCAAGTCTCTTATCCTTCTTTAACTTTGAAATTCCATTTTAAAGGAATCATTATTTTACAACTTGTGTGTGTTCATTGTCTTTGGAATAAATAACATTGTGCTATATCACTATAGTATCAAAGTGTAATAAATGCCATGGTTAAAAGTTCTGTTAACAAAATTTTATTTTTTTTTTCTCTTTATCTAACATAAGTAAAAACAATTTATAAAAAAACACAATTATACCATGTTGATAATACATTAGCAACATTAATCAATTTTCTTTCTAAAATTCTATAGGATGAAAAATGCAAATTTTCCAAAGCACAATACCTCTACATCTACAAGATGACTGAAATGTTGATGTTATCAAAAAGTAGAAAAGAGGTGCTGGAGGCTACACAGTAGTGACTAAGTAGTTTAAAGAGGACATGAGCATTTTAATAACATAACATATACTAATATTTTGACATTAAAAAAAGTCTTTCATATAAATGTTTTTTTCTAACTTTACTTTGTGGACGGGACCACTTTTCAGAAGGAGGCTAATTTCTTAAAACATATTAGTTCTGATGGTTAGATGTAAAATGATCTGAGCTGGGAAATATGAAGCCTCTTTATGTAATATGGACAATATTTTTCCTTTGCTGGGATCTTGGTTTGGACAAATGATTAATTTGAAGGCATCAATATTCCACATGTAATTCATTCTGACTTACTTGCCAAGTACAAACAATACCAATGTGATATGTGCCTGTTAACCTTGCATTATGTTGTTGCAAATTACCTAAATCTTTCCTCTATTTGTTTCAATCAATTTTTTTGAATATCTTACCAGTAACCTTCCTACTGAAAACTTCTTACTCTTAATGTCATGATGCTTACAATCACATTTTCGTTAATGACACATGATATTAAAGGAAATGTATTGCAGTGATACAAATGTTGAACTTTGATCACAACTTTGCATGCCATTAGAAATTGGTATAAATCTCATTCTATTGGACCGTTCCACTATTATCTTGACGCATTAGCTGTGTCAGTCTGCATCCTTTGTCCCCTCAGATGTACTGTCCTGCTGGTATGTGCTGTTTTCAGTGTCGGATACCTCCGGTGGAGTGCTGTCGCAACCCGTGTTGTTTGGCTCGGGTTGGGAGCTAGTCAAAAGAAAATAATTTTATTAAGATATAGTCTTCAATAATTAAAAATCCATTAAAAATAGTTTTTGCAAGTCTTTCTCCGATATAAATACTTTTCCAAAATGCAAGTAAATAATTGTTTCATTTCACTAGTTTTTTTTTTTTTTCAATGATAGAAGATTGTAAGTTATAAATGTAAGGTATGCAACAGAGAACAAAAAATCCAGTCACAGTTAATAGATACAGTGACATTTATATCATATGTTATTGTGTTTACCATGGACATGCTAATACATTGTACACATGCTAATAATGAAGCCATATTTGTGTTTCTTTGCAGAAATTATTCAGGAGCAATAGATTCTATAAAATATGATAAACAAAATGTGTAAACAGCTATAAGTGGTACTATATCTATTCCCCAGTAAGTCAGGGGGTGGAGCCTCGTCAACACATCACCTTACTCATGTGGTAGAAGCAATCAAATAGTATTCAAATGTTACTCTACAACATCAGATAATGGGTTATAACCAGAGATGGATGTATATACCTGATCAATATAGTACATTACATATGGTTACATAACAACTCCAGTACAGGGTAAAGGTCTAATCCAAGTACCTGGCACTTTAATTTTAAAATCAAACATCTTTTTTGTCGTTTACTTCAGTTTTAAAAGATCTTAATTATTTCTGTCAATTATTTTAAAGACAAGAATTTTTTTATGAATTCATTATTTCCTGTCTAAACAAGGAACACATGGAACTAAATAGGTAACATTCACACAAGAAAAAATTGACTCAACACAAGGGAGCTTTTATACTATTCTTAGACAACTTGGTGAAATAGAAGAGGATTTTACATAATTTCTTGACTTTTTCTTGAGAACTAAAGGCAGAGATGTGATCAAATAAAAAAGATGACCTCCTATTATATATCTATACACTATCTCACACACACAGTTCTAGCATTACTTGTAAACTATCATCAATTCTTTAGGACACACAGATCCTGACAAGTCGTTAGTTATCAGTCATAAATATAAGCAGTATCAGGAAAGATCTACAAGAAATTTGTCTAGCAGAGTTATTCTAATGTAAAAAGTAAAATGAAAAGCAAAATTTACAGTGTACTGCTTGTTGTGTTACAAATTCATTTGAAAACTCAAACCCTCCTGGATTTCAAGATTGTAAATCTGAGAGTTAAAGCTATAGAGAGGAAGTTAGGAGGAGACATGACAGACAGTGATAGAAGTGTGAAGTGCCATGTACATTCTACTGGTAACCATACTGATAGTGAAACTTATAAACGTATGTCTGTGCAACACAAATGCCTTCTCCATGCCTACAACCAGTAAGGATGGTACTTTTTAGTATTATCAGCTTCTTAAGAAATGTACCCATGACGTTTTAGACTGTGTCCAGTATTGGTTGACTGGGGCTATTTATCAAATTTAGCAATAGCTGACATGGTAATAAAATTCATATATTTATCATATTTCTGGTTAAAGTTCCTATTTAGTAGTGAGAAAATGTGTGTCAATCGATTCAAAGGCCAACACAATGGAATGACTGCCACCACTATGAACTAAAGTTACATCTTCACTACAACAACTTCATGTCATGTGTCAGTGCCAGATCCTTCTAGTTTCCAGAATATGAGTGAAAATTTAATTTCTTGAAACATTTAAAGTTCAAGGGCAATAACTCTAAAATATTAACAGAAACAAAACAGAAATGTGACCTGTATCTTCTCATTTTGTAACTATATACTGAATTTCAGTTTAACACTGTAATCCATCAAATAAAAGAGTAGCAAATAAACATGATAAAGAAGGAGAGACAGAATGATAGCAAGGGACATCACTACATATATAATGATAAATATGCCTCAACCATTCAATTCCAAAAATGCTGTTAGGGTGATAAATTTCAATATGCTTGGCTCATCAGTTACTTTTTTAACTTCAGTAAACTAATCAAATTCTCTCACAGAAAAGGATAATATTTTGGAGCTAATTATTAAAAGAATTTGACTCTCAGAGCTAAGCTTGACAGATAATTCCTGTGGATTCCACACATAAACTCCATACTTCTACATTTCAGCATTTTACATATAAAAGTTGTAGATTTCTGATCTGAGAGAGAAGTAGTATTTATTAAAATGGGCCTTAATAATTATTTGACCTCTCTTGGATTATACTTTATTTTTTTAAGTAATAAAACTCCTCATGTATGAAAGCTGGGAAGTAACTTTCAAGAAATGGAAAAATAAAAAAAAATGGTAAATAGCAACAAACAGACTCTCCTGTATGAAATAAAATTGTGTAATTAGCAATGACCGACTTATTCTGTCATAAATATTCACTTTTTGCGCTTATTTTACATGTTAATTATCATATTTCTTACCACTGTTGTTGCCTATTACGTGTTTCTAAGATACTCAAGATATATCAAGTTTTGAGCACATACACAGTCATGGATAATTAAATAAAGAAAGGTTTAAAAAAATCCTTGCCTTGAGAAGTAATGATGCCCTCCGCCATTCTAAGAAACTACAGAGTAATTATAAAATGGGCTTTGATGGGTAAAGAGAAGAATTCAGGGAAGAGAAATACAAACATGGCCAGCTCAGACCTACACTACAGATATATACCTACTAAAAAACAGTAACAAAATATCAGAAAATACCACTCAAACATGAAAAAATATGAAAGTATTGAAAAGTAAAGAAATATTGATTGTGATTTGTTTGTGATATGTATGTTCAATGTGTCAAACAAATAGATTTAGTTTGTGCATAGAATCTAGACAAAAGAAAACACTGGCTAAATACCTCTCTTCGGAACCTTAAGAGATCCTGAAAAAATATTTGGAAGAAATAGATAACATTATAAAATGTATTAATCTTCCTACAATAATTTGGACAATCTTCATTTTAATCTTTGTTCTGATTGGAATGAAAAAATGTATGGTTTTATACACAGTATTCAATATTTTTTTAAGTGAGCCTTTATTCTTACAATGGAATAACATTAAAATTTGTAAACTGATTTTCAATTGATTAAGTAAAATACTGAAAAAAAAATCACTGAAATAGCTACACTGGGATATAGACATTACTGAGACATAAATCTGTAATAACGAACTCAGTTATCTGAAGGTTATATATATATATAAGGAATGTCTTATCTAAACAGTTGCTGATCAATGTCATGCCTCCATTGTTCATAATAAATTAGGTTAACTCTAAATTAATTGGGATGTAGGGTTGGATGGTTGCCAGTGACCATGCCCTGGTACATGTATCTGTTTTCTGAAATTGTTCTAAAATAGCAGACATAAACCACTATATCAACTTATAAGGTGTTGATGTACCATTAAAAAGAACAAACTTGGGAGCTGAAAACAATCAATTTACTGATAGGAACATTATGACTTAATGCCTGAATCCCTCATTAATTATTTATTGAACCAGAAACAATATTTGTGATTGATTTTCCAACCAATTTATAAAAATATTGGCCATTTTTGTTTTTCTGATCAGTTTCAAATTCAAAAACACACAACGAGGGACCAAGGGGAACCTACATATGAAATCTGCATCAAATGTAATGATTCTAAAAATAGTTCATGTACTATTATTGTCAGTTTAGTAAATGAATAACGCATTTTGGTAAACATTTCAAACGTTCTTAAAGATGATTATAACAAGTTTTTCTGCTATGAATCCTTTCAGCAGACTTTGGTATTAGAATGGATGGGTTCACCGAGATATGTTTATCTAATAGATACCACTTTAATCTCATAATCAAATTGAACACACCAATAGAGAAACAAGAGTATCAGTAAAACTGATAAATGTTTTACTGGAAACTCAATTTTAAGGGTAAAACTTCTGTAATTAAGGGGTTGCAAGCCCTGACTTTGGTACACTGTACATTGTCTTAGTATGACAAAGTATAAAGTTTCAAATCCATGTTTCACTGTGGGCAAAGTTATACTCTGGACATGAAAAGGATGGACGGACGGACAAAGCATGCTCCCCCAAAAATTGTCAAAGAGCATAAAAAAGACCAATATAATGTTAGTGTAGTCTTTTGTAGCCATGCTGGCATTGACATGCGTTCGAAGAAATGGTGTGACCACATTTACACTGTCACAGTAGAAGTACATTCCATAAACTGTTAACAGTGTATTCACTATCTCTACGGTGATTGTCTTCATGAAATAAGTCCAGTGTATGTGTTCTTAATGAAACCAGCTTAGCAGGATTTATAATAACCATTGCCTTAGTTTTACTTTTTGAGATGTCTGTAAGTAGACCAGAAAATAAGCTGTTCCACATTTCACTTTGTCTGTGTCACCATTCAACACTGATATAATAACAAAGTATCCTATTATAATGTTATCCATACTATTAAATCGCTGAGCAAAAAAGTTTGTCCCATTCCTCGCAAATCTTTTTTTTTTTTTTTTCATTACTTGAAAAAAACAAAAAGCATTTGAAATCTGATATAGATCTTTTTTGATTAAAGAAATTTTCTTAAAAAGGTCAGTCTTTATTTCAACAAAATAAAGTTGAGAAAACTAGATTACAGCCCCTCCCCCCCCCCCCCCCCCCCCCCCCCCCCCCCCCCCCCCCCCCCCCCCCCATCCCACCTCCTCATCCAATTTCAATACAAATTAGCGGATGGTTTTCTATTAAAAGTAAGTGACCCTCGACCTCTGAAACACAGACACAATGTACTCGACCCCTTGTCATTAACACGAAGTTAAAAGCTTGATATGGATGATTCCTTTTCCAATTTCGTGGCTTATATTGTTCTATAATAATACAACAGATACCTTATTATAGGAAAACACTCCAACAACATTTCATATCACATACAGGAAATACTGTTATTTACACAGAATATACTTGACTACCACAGCTGTATGTGATGGTACAGTTGACATGCTTAATATCAAAGTTATAATGACAACAACAATTTAATTTTAAAGACAAACTTTCAGATAAAATGGTTTGTCTTAAGATTGAAATTTCATCATTTTAATTATTTAATTTGCTGAAAGTTAACTTTCAAACATTAACTGTTTGAGAAAAGTTCGCAATGTGATAATATATTTCATGTTTACTTACTGAACTTCCTGATTTGGATTCGTTTTTCGGACAATTGTTTAATGAAAAAGTGAAATAGTAAAAAGTAAAAAATATACAATCATATGGTTTTGAATGACTGATTGAACAGCCCTTATATACATGTATGAAAAACCTTGAACATTGTATCTATTTTCACATACAACAATCGCAACAAAATTGAGAGGCAAAATGCAAATGAATGCCAAAAGTGTTCACTCCTTTCAACCTTAGACGAAAAATGTTTTTAAGACAAGAGGCATTTTAAATAATATAGATTTTTATCGACTTGGATTTTAAACTTTCAATAGGATACTGATCCATCGAATTGTCCAATCTAGAGTAGATATTAAGAGGCACCAAACAATTCATCAGAAATATCAATTAATAAGAAAAATATTTGATTTTTATATCTTTGTGAAAACCATTTCTTCTCATGAAATATAAGTATTTAACATTATGCTAATCACAATAAATTAAATATATAACCAAATATTGCAATAATTGGTAATTTCAAAATTTCTAATTTTCAATTCATATTTTTTCGATTCAATGCGAAATTTTGGGTGAAAGGGTCAACAAAACAGCCTTGCGAAGGCCACGACACAACACACATAGTGACAACACCTAGTCTACTTGGCAATAGCAGTAAGACAACTACGTACCCTTCGTAAATGCACAATTTTCCACACATCTCTATGTTATGCACAGATTAAATACACCAAAACATGTTAGAGTCAGATAATTATGAATTTTATTGAAAATATCTTCTGACTTTTATTTTCTAACCAATATCTTTATTGAATTAGATAAGAAAATTAATCATTCCATTACTTTGCTTTGTTTTATTTTCCCCGTAACTCTTAAGAAATGAAAATAAAAGAGTGCCTTCTGCTTCAAGCAAATGTTCAACAATGTCTAGCAACCTTCAGCTTCAAAACATGAATCTGTATTAGGTATCTCATTCCCAAACAATATTAAAATGTAATTTTATCAAATATATATTCCTACGTGATCAATTGGTCTTTAATATCATCAATATCAATACATAAAGTGTTCCATTATTTGTTTCATAACTATTATATTTAATTTCATTTGTCATAAATTTCATATCAAACAAACCATATAAGGATTGTCTTATTAATATCTATCATGCATGTTATTGATTGATAAGTTAGAACCCCATTAACATAACTATCAAACTAAAATCTATAGTTAATAAAAGATCCAACACCAATCTATAAGAACTTCTGAACATGTGTTAATCAACAAACATCACAAACAATTCACCTGCAGACCAATCCATAATACTAGAGTTATCTCCCTTACCTGTCTCCAGCCTCTGATACAAGTTGAACTATATGACCCTCGGGAACTGTTCCATCAGAACTCTTCCGTTGGTAGTGACTTCTGAAAACATACCATAAGATTGTCGATAGTTTTTAGAAATTTTTATATAAAATATTTTGATTTTAACTGGGTGTGTAATGTTTTCAGAATACAGAGTTTGTTATTTTGAATTTCACTGTACAGTCACACAGAAGGAAAAAATTAAGTCATGAAATAAAATTCGTCCATTGTAAATTATTTATTTCATTTCAGTAATAATTACCATAACTTTAGTATGCATATCTCCCACTAATTCTTTTTTTTAACTTTTTTAATCTCACATAAAAAGACTTACACATAAAATGTTTCCTATACAGGAGACAAGTTCCTGGACCAGTAATCATTACATTTACCAATATTTAGTTGGAGGAGGATACATTGATTTTAACTTTCATTTTCCTATATATATTTGTAGAACATACCTAAACCTTTGTTGAATGATGACTGACTGGTTACCTCCCTTCTTTAACCTCTCATGTTCCTTGTAAGTTCTGTACTGGTTTTGAATCACAACAGCTGCATCTCGACTCTTCTTAAAGCGTTTTTGTGCATAATAACTTCTAAACTGACTTTGTATCAACACTGCTGCCTGTGTCATCTTCTTGTAGTATGCATACTGAAACCAGAATTAATTCCAAATAACAGACATAACTCAAATCAAATCCAATAGTAATGAAAACATTTCAGGGATCATGATCCAAAGGCATGTGGATAAACAAAGACCACCTGTTGGTCAACAAGTTATTTAAATATTGACAACAGAATATATAACTGTACATGAGATTTATTTCACAAATCTCTTCCAGAACAAGACTGATCTACTCCAGTACAGCATAAATCTAACTTGTTGGTGAAAACTTGTCAGTTTTTCAAATGGTAATCTATTTGGGTTTCATTGACTTGGTAATAACCTTAAGAATATAGTGTAGCTTCCCTAAACCAATTCTTCACAAAACCAATCACCTCTTGAAACAAAATGGTGATGTTCGGAATGACGTCCTCTTTATTACAGTAATATAAAACTTCCCAATACCTATCCCAATTATTTCTGAATACCAAAGTGATTTTTTATTGAATCAAAATTTCCTGAGAATTATTTCTGAAAACCGGCCTTACATGAGCAATCAAGACCGAATTTTGAACAGCAGATCATAAAAAATAATATCTGTGGTGATAGTTGTAAGCTTTGTGTGTTAGGTGCATACCAGGTACATATCACAAGTAGACTTTGTACACAATACCTACCCTGATCAGGAGGATTATAACTATCATTATATATAATTATCATCAATGTCAAGATGAAACCATATTGAATGAATCCATCACTTCATTGAAGCCAGAAAGGGCTATAGGCAAAGTGAAATGTAGTTATCATGAAGAACTAGAATGCTGCCTTTTCATATCAAATTTGTGAGTATTGAAAAAGATAGTTTAACATGTACAAAATGGTAACACCAATGGAGTGTTGCTTTCAAAGATTATTTCCTTTACCTGATCAATGAAAACAGCAGTTCATCAAATAAATTGGTTGTAAATACTTTCAGACAAACCAATCATCCAATAGAGGGGATGGGTTTGACCATGTGAGCATCAATTTTGAGACTCGTGTATCACATATTTTTTTCACTTTATTGAAATAGTTTTACTCTTTAATACTTTTATCTGTATTAAGTTGTGTATATAACGTGTAAATGCTCCAAGTAAATAAAATACAAGTAGTTTATTTAATGTACAGACAAGAACTGGAATTATATCTGTGTCTGAACAAGTAAACTTCATTCAATTCTGTAAACTGAACCTTCCTTAAAACAAACACACATGATGGGTTTGGAGAAATTCCATTGCACCAGGAATGTAAAAGGTATGACAACCACCCAATCACATCTGTTTATAACGACCCTTGTGTATAAAGACCAGGCTGTAACAACAACCCAATAACACCTGTTTATAAAAACCCTTGTGTATAAAGACCAGGCTGTAACAACAACCCAATCATACCTGTTTATAACAACCCCTGTTTTTAAAGACCAGGCTGTAACAACAACCCAATCATACCTGTTTATAACGACCCCTGTGTATAAAGACCAGGCTGTAACAACAACCCAATCACACCTGTTTATAACGACCCCTGTGTATAAAGACCAGGCTGTAACAACAACCCAATCACACCTGTTTATAACGACCCCTGTGTATAAAGACCAGGCTGTAACAACAACCCAATCAAATAACACCTGTAAAGACCAGGCTGTATAACGACCTTTGTGTATAAAGACCAGGCTGTAACAACAACCCAATCATACCTGTTTATAACAACCCCTGTTTTTAAAGACCAGGCTGTAACAACAACCCAGTTATAACAACAACCCAATCACACCTGTTTATAACGACCTTTGTGTATAAAGACCAGGCTGTAACAACAACCCAATCACACCTGTTTATAACGACCCTTGTGTATAAAGACCAGGCTGTAACAACAACCCAATCACACCTGTTTATAACAACCCTTGTGTATAAAGACCAGGCTGTAACAACAACCCAATCACACCTGTTTATAACAACCCTTGTGTATAAAGACCAGGCTGTAACAACAACCCAATCATACCTGTTTATAACGACCCTTGTGTAGAAAGACCAGGCTGTAACAACCACCCAATCACATCTGTTTATAACGACCCTGGTGTATAAAGACCAGGCTGTAACAACAACCCAATCACACCTGTTTATAACGACCCTTGTGTATAAAGACCAGGCTGTAACAACAACCCAATCACACCTGTTTATAACAACCCTTGTGTATAAAGACCAGGCTGTAACAACAACCCAATCACACCTGTTTATAACGACCCTTGTGTATAAAGACCAGGCTGTAACAACAACCCAATCACACCTGTTTATAACGACCCTTGTGTAGAAAGACCAGGCTGTAACAACAACCCAATCACACCTGTTTATAACGACCCTTGTGTATAAAGACCAGGCTGTAACAACAACCCAATCACACCTGTTTATAACGACCCTTGTGTATAAAGACCAGGCTGTAACAACAACCCAATCACACCTGTTTATAACGACCTTTGTGTATAAAGACCAGGCTGTAACAACAACCCAATCATACCTGTTTATAACGACCCCTGTGTATAAAGACCAGGCTGTAACAACAACCCAATCATACCTGTTTATAACGACCTTTGTGTATAAAGACCAGGCTGTAACAACAACCCAATCACACCTGTTTATAACGACCCCTGTGTATAAAGACCAGGCTGTAACAACAACCCAATCATACCTGTTTATAACGACCCTTGTGTAGAAAGACCAGGCTGTAACAACAACACAGTCACACCTGTTTGTAACGACCTTTGTGTATAAAGACCAGGCTGTAACAACAACCCAATCACACCTGTTTATAATGACCCCTGTTTTTAAAGACCAGGCTGTAACAACAACCCAGTCACACCTGTTTATAATGACCCTTGTGTATAAAGACCAGGCTGTAACAACAACCCAATCACACCTGTTTATAACAACCCTTGTGTATAAAGACCAGGCTGTAACAACAACCCAATCATACCTGTTTGTAATGACCCTTGTGTATAAAGACCAGGCTGTAACAACAACCCAATCACACCTGTTTATAACGACCCTTGTGTATAAAGACCAGGCTGTAACAACAACCCAATCATACCTGTTTATAACGACCCCTGTGTATAAAGACCAGGCTGTAAAGACAAGATTTACCTGTTTGTATCGTCTGTAGTACTTCTGAATGAGAACTGCTGCCTCCATCTCCTTCTGCTGTTGTAACTGCTGCTTGTCCCTGTATTGTCGGTATGCACTTTGGATCACCTTGGCCGCCTCATATAACTTCCTCTGTTCTATATCTGTTAAAACACATCAAAGGTCACTAAATACAGTTAATCCACCTTGTGGCAGTGATTAAAACTGTTATATATTCTTGTTATTGTCATTAACTGTTCTGATATCATGTTTGTCAACATTCTTTATTGGAGAGAAAATCCTGATTTTCAATTGTTCCTCAGGAAGAGCCATAGCTGTGCCAAAAACGGTAAGCAGAAACTGAAAGTTGAAACGTCTTTGTAACTTTCAAAGCTACATTTCAGCTCAATATGGTGGAAAAAGCAAACAAACAAAACAGACTTGAAGACAGATGGACAAACAAATGGGAAGTACAAAAACACTGCCCCTATGGCTTAATTTTTATCTTGTGCTTACTGCCTAGCTGTCCAAAACCATTTTGATAGTCTGACAAGCAGACCTTGTGAATTTGTACGTTAAATCTGGTGCAACCTGCTAAAAGCTTAATTTTCTGAAGAAATATAGACTGAGGCTACTTAATTCATTTTTATTGTAGGGTGGTACTCTAAATATGAAAACATGCCTCCTTTCTTATTTCTAGAACATTTCTTTAATTCTGAAAAAGAAAATCCAAATGGTAACCAGGCACACTTGAATACCTGACAGAGTAAGCTGAGAGAAATCTTTCTCCATGAAAGTGGCAGGGGCATTGAAATACTCAGTGAACTCAGCAGTAGTGGGCGGAGGAGAGTCCAGAGAGAAACTGTAAGGACTGTAAGGGCTCGGCAGGCAGGTGGAGTCCGGACTCAAGGACGATGCCGGAGTACCAAGGTCTGTGTACCTAGAGGTTAAATCAAGACAGCCATTGAAAGTAAGTGAATTGGGAATGAGAAAATGATTTTCATTGAAATCTACATTCTGAAATCAAAGTAGAGTACTGATACACATCAAAAAGGACCTTGCATTGTGCTTGACACTAAACTTGAAAGCTACACTGATAATGAATTCTTGATTTCTGATTTATAGACAATAATTTGCCTGTGAGATATGGAGAACAAAAAGTGACCTTCACCTTTGACCTGTTCTCTAGTGACCTCTTATTCAACTAATTATGATAATTATATCTTAACAAAATATGTGTGAAATATTTCAAAATTTTGAAGTTGATCTTTGACCTGATGACCTTGACAACTGACTCAACTGACTCAACAGAACTTGAGATATGTACTAAAATGAAAAATCTGCTGTACTTTATTGAGTATCATTATTTTACATTGAAGCAAAGGAGAAAGTCTGGAGTATAACCATCCAAACAGAGCTGGAGATATCCAATTTTCTATTGATAGTAACACTTACATTGACCAATGACCTCAAGCCTAAAATATCAACCAATTCAAGCCCTTCTTTAGAAGGAGAGGCAGATAAATTTGGACAAAAGCAGAACTTGAGATATCAGGCCGAAACATAAAAATCTACTATAACTAGTAGAACTTTTTAAAACTACATTATACTAAATTTTAATTAGTTTGTGGATTGCAACTCAAGTTTTTAACAAAAAATCATACTTCCTAAGAAAATTTATCATTACTTCAACACACAAACCTATATTCATCAAAAGCGAGACCATCACCCATGGGTGTTGATATCCCAGAGTCTTCCTCATACGATGACGCATGTGGTGATGGTTGTGATGGAATGGAACTGTAGGAACCACTTCTCTCCCGCACATATGTGAACTCGAGGACTGGTTCATCTGTACGACTTGGTGAAAGTTTGATCCGTTCTGGCATGGCAGCTATGATTTGCTTGGCTAATGTTACCATCTGGTGATTGATGTCTTCCTCGTTCTCAACACCTGCTGAGGAATTGGAATAATATTTACAACTAAAACATCATTCTCAACACCTGCTGAGGAACTGAAATAATATTTACAAATAAAACATCATTCTCATCACCTGCTGAGGAATTGGAATAATATTTACAACTAAAACATCATTCTCAACACCTGCTGAGGAATTGGAATAATATTTACAACTAAAACATCATTCTCATCACCTGCTGAGGAATTGAAATAATATTTACAACTAAAACATCATTCTCAACACCTGCTGAGGAATTGAAATAATATTTACAACTAAAACATCATTCTCAACACCTGCTGAGGAATTGAAATCATATGTACAACTAAAAAATCATTCTCAACACCTGCTGAGGAATTGAAATAATATTTACAAATAAAACATCATTCTCAACACTTGCTGACCTGCTGCAGGATCAAAACAAGAGGCTCAGAGGCCTTAACAGTTATCTGTCTGTAAATTTATAAATACTACAATTGCGATATTGGAGGTTTGAACAATTATTACAGGATTTAAACAAATCTGAATATTTTAGCAGCTGAGGTATCAAAATCAACACTTTCATATCAGTTTCTCATCATTCCTTCAAAATTCCATTTTAATGGTACCAGCAGAACTGGAAGAGGTATAAAATGTGTTTTTTTGATGTAGCAGAATTAAAATATGAATAACTATAAAGTAGACATTGCTCAAAAAACCCATTATCTTTTAATCTTATAAAAAAATGACTCCAATGGTAAAAAATTGAGTAGAACTTGACATAAAATTTACAGCGTCTTTTTCAAAATTGCAGCCATAACAGCCATGTTAGATTTGGACTGACCACAAAAATAATAATGCATGGTTAGGACCATCGCAGAGTCATTGCAGGCAAGCTTCCACTGAATCCCACTGTTATAACTTAAAAAGGAGCTTGAAATGTGAAAACATCAAAATCTTTGTTTCTGGTCAGTGGCAAACAAATCCTGCCAAGATTTTGTCTGGTGATGCCAGGAGCTATCATACTATAACATGTTATACTGTAAATGTGGTTATTTTCACTAAGAGTTTACTTCCGATTTCAATACTAGTCAACAAACTTTACAAGCAGTGATTACTTTTGTGATTAATGAACAAATTTATGTGGGTATGGAATTTACACTGCTGGATGACTTCTGCTTACTTAGTGTTAATTCCTCCACATGTATATTTCAACCTTGACAGTAACGAGATACATTATACAGAGATGGTTAGTATTGAGAGAATGATGAACATATACCATGGCCATGCTGCACGGATATCTAATGCCTGGAGATACAACTCAACATCCAATTGTAAAACAGGACTGGAGTAATATTGAAATACCAATAATTATGTTATTCAGAAGAATAAAACACAGTAACTACCAGATAAAAATAAATAGTAATAAAGAAAACTTCCAACAGGGGAAATAATAAAAATGACAAATAACAACAAAGGGAAGTAATTATTGGTTAATAACAGGGGAGATAACTAGGAAAAAAGTTGTACAACATACATCTTTGAAGGAGATCTACGTCTTCATCATCAGAGGACAAATTCTCGACATCTATGAGAGGACTAGCACTGGCGGAGGAAAGTACCTCATCTGTAATCAAGGCAGGCAGTTAGCAGATGTACACAATTACTGGCCGTTAATAACAATATATAACATGCATCTTGTACCTTTGAGATTTTCACAGTGATTAAGGTACAACAATTGTTCCCAATTTGTTTTATTGCAATTCATACAAACAATACATTTCAAAAGTTTGATCAGTATAATTAATCAATTACCTGTCAATCAACTACTTTAAGGACTACATGTTATGATTGTCCTGTTGCAATCAATGGTATTAAAATATTCCTTTACACAACACACGGAAATACATATAATATAATCTAAAGTCATTGTGTTGGAATATTACTTCCCTTAACACTGGACTTTTGACAGACCTGACCTGAAGTAATGTGATAAATTCCCTTGGTAAGTAATGATAGTTTCATGTATCAATATTTTCACTACCAGGTTATTCCATTTTAACAAAATAATAAGGGTTATATTATTAAATAAAATGCTTAATATGTGAGAAAACTCATCTTAAAGTAGAATCATGACACACTGTATCTGTAAGTCTGTTTTGAACGATTCCATATACATAGTAGAAGTTCAATGTTAGCTGTTTAATTGGTGAATGTTACCAAGGTAAAGAACTATCAAGTTCTATCATGTACAGATTTAATTCATTCTGCACAAGATGTTCTTAATAGCACGAACTTATTAATTAATTAATGAATTATTAAATACACTATCTTTCATCACTGCTTTAAAGCCCTCGAGGGACTACACCGCCAGTTTGCTAGATCTATATATGGCTGTAATAGTACCGATATAGTTTTAAAAAACTAGATGTTAATCTGGACACACAACACTTCTACACCATAGCTACTAGTCTGTTAATAATTAAACACTGACAGTTAATCTATTTCACATCTAGTATTAACTCAACATGAGGCTTGTCTAGTGTTAACTTAAATGTAAAGCCGACATCTTCCTTTCTATAACTTTCAACATTTATTAATGTGATGACTTTGACACGAAGTCATTTTTAACGGCTGATTACCTAACAATCTTTTCTCTAAATGAAAATTAAAGGTATACTTTGCAACTTTACATTGTACTTATTTTTTTTTACTTTGTTGTCTTTAGATGGATTTTCTCAGATATCTTTGAGCTGTTCACTTAAGTGTCTATCTCCTCCTTAAACTTACTTTCATGTTACATACAGTAAATTTTGAAATTCAAATATACTGGTACTTTTCATTTATCTTGATGTCCAGGACAACTGACTTCTGTATGTGTTGTCTGTAACCATACCTATAGCCAGAAAACACCTCATAGAAAATCAGTACAATGGTCTCTTAACAGAGGTGACCTCTTAAAGAAAGGTGGTCTCTTAACAGAGGTGACCTCTTAAAGAAAGATGGTTTCTTAAGAGAGGAGATTTCTTGACATAAGTGGTCTCTTCAGAGGAAGGGTCACTTATGAGAAATGTTCTCTTAACAGAGTTGGTCTCCTAAAAGATGTGGTATCATACCAAAAGGTGGTCTTGACAGAAGTAGTCTCTTAATGGAGGGGTCTCTCTAGATAGGGTTTCTCTAAAGAAAGGTGGTCTCTAAGGACACGTGGGAGATGTAAAATATACTATAGAGTGTTGGTTAATATTCATGTTTATATATGAAATATACATTTCCCAACATTTTTTTACTTTCACACACTAAACATCAGTAGGTCTATCACCTCCAATTCCAAAAAAACAGCTTTAAACCTAAACATAATAGCATCCCTAAAAACATGATTGGATAGATTCTTCCTAAATTATACACAATGATTATAGGAGTTTGATACCTGTGTCCATTTGTATCAGCACAGAGTTGGGGCCTTGTGACCTATTTGTTAGTGTCATGGATTCCAAGTTGGCCTCTCCATGTTTAGAAGCCTCAAACACAGGCTCCCCAGCCTGAATCATCATATCTGGTGATGTGAGGTCACGACCCGGATCTGACAACATTGGATTGGTCTGTCTGGTCAATGGATCTGTTGCCATGGAGAGCTGTGGTTCAGAATTGGTCTCTCTGATCGGCCGATTAGCAGAATCGGAAATGGTTGATCCATCGTTTGTTGTGGAATGCACAGGAAGGAGATCAACTGAAAACCTTTTGTTAAGTTTTTTCCTTGCAGAATTGCCCCGTAGGGCTTGGTCACTCTGTCGTCGGATCAGAAAACCCTCACCAGGGTATGTTGAGGTGAAACTAGCAGTTGTGCCCTCAGGCATTCGTGACACAGTACTCACCGGTGGTGGTGATTTAAACAGACCTCGAACCATTTCCTTTGTAAGGGGAGTGGAGGTCTGCAGTGGCATGTCCACAGACTTCGGGGGAGATGACTGCATGGGCACAAAGTTCCCTCCACTCGAAGCGAACACAGAGTTCTGGGAATTGACTGTGAGTAATTTGTCTAGTGTTTTTATAACTTCTAAGTGTCCAAGTTTTTGAGCAACTATCAACGGAACAAGCCCCTCATTATTTTGGATATGTAATGCCTCAGAGTTCCAGTGATATAACACAACAGCTGCCTGGGTATGGCCCCTCCCACACGCCCACATCTGTTATTACAAACAAACATAATTCAATACAAAAAAATGCAATTTTATATAAAGACTTTCAATAAATTTATTCTAAAATAAAATCATCTTTAGATTAAAAACATTTTTATTATTTAAAAAGTAACACAGTAAAAATTTACCATGAAAATACATCTAGTATTATTGCATGCATGAGATTTTCATACACTCACGACACACATTAAATAACCAGGAGTTTATTGCCGCGGACTAACTGCTATTACATAGATAAGAGTAAGAAAGAACATACATTAAATGGAGTAAGCGGCCACTTTCATGCTGATTACTTCAATTTCAATTCTAATTTATTTTTAAAAACACAAGCCATTTTTATCTTTCAAAAAAAATGTCAGCGATATTTGCTCTCCATTTGGTTTTGTTGTTTCATTTTGAATGATCCCATTACCACTATGTATTCTAATTGTATCAAATCTATCTCATTACCAGTGGAGTACAGGCATTGTCATCTTGACAGCGAGCGTCCACCTCATACTCCAGTACCCAGCATGGGTTGTCAGAACGCCACTGAACCAAGGTCTGTATCAACTTGGAATAACCCAGAGCTGCAGCTAAATGCAGAAGTGTCATGTTGTGTGGACCGGCCTTGGGGAATGGGTCAACATCTGACCACGTCTCACCAGCAATCTTTTTCACATGCCATACTAGTTTCTCTTCCAAGTCCCCAGTCATCAGAAATGACTGGATCTGGTCACGATACAATATATAAATTACAGAAAACATTGCTACAAAATCTTGTGAACCTGCATGTCTTATTTGATTAATTGTTTTTAACATTTACAAACTCAATGTTCATGATAAAATTTGCATTGTTAAATTAAACATTAATTGCACTCTTCGATAACTCCATGAGAACACAAAAATTCATAGGGTTTATAACTTTTCTGACTTAACTATTGATTTCCACTGTACTTATGACAACCATATTATCTGAAATGAATTGTGATGGTTTACCTGTCTGAGAATGGATTGTGCAGGTTTACCTGTCTGAGAATGGATTGTGCAGGTTTACCTGTCTGAGAATGGATTGTGAAGGTTTACCTGTCTGAGAATGGATTGTGTAGGTTTACCTGTCTGAGAATGGATTGTGAAGGTTTACCTGTCTGAGAATGGATTGTGCAGGTTTACCTGTCTGATAATGGATTGTGCAGGTTTGCCTGTCTGAGAATGGATTGTGCAGGTTTACCTGTCTGAGAATGGATTGTGCAGGTTGTCCTGTCTGAGAATGGATTGTGCAGGTTTACCTGTCTGAGAATGGATTGTGCAGGTTTACCTGTCTGAGAATGGATTGTGAAGGTTTACCTGTCTGAGAATGGATTGTGCAGATTTACCTGTCTGAGAATGGATTGTGAAGGTTTACTTGTCTGAGAATGGATTGTGTAGGTTTACCTGTCTGAGAATGGATTGTGAAGGTTTACCTGTCTGAGAATGGATTGTGCAGATTTACCTGTCTGAGAATGGATTGTGAAGGTTTACTTGTCTGAGAATGGATTGTGTAGGTTTACCTGTCTGAGAATGGATTGTGAAGGTTTACCTGTCTGAGAATGGATTGTGCAGGTTTACCTGTCTGAGAATGGATTGTGGAGGTTGTCCTGTCTGAGAATGGATTGTGCAGGTTTACCTGTCTGAGAATGGATTGTGCAGGTTTACCTGTCTGAGAATGGATTATGGAGGTTTACCTGTCTGAGAATGGATTGTGGAGGTTCGCATGGAGTCGTAACATTGGTCAGTCTTTGTTCCAGTTCAGCCAGACGGTCAATCAACAACAGCTTCAGACAGTCATCTGTAATACAGATCTTACCAACTATTTACAAATGTTTCCACAATCTATACTAAGGCAACTGCAATGTGTCAAACATATTAACCAGATAGGGAATTTAATAAGATGAAAAACTCAACTTTCATGTTTTGGATATTTTCAGTGTTTTACATACCCATTCATAGTCCTAATTAACAATTATGCCTTTTTTCCCCTTCTTAATTAGCTTTCTTTGTTCAAGATTTGATAAGGATTTTTTATTGCATAGAAAAATTTCAAAATTTCACTTTTCAAAAATTTGATTGTAGCAGAACAAATTTCAATTTTCCTTCTACACTTTTAATGACAAGTACATTTCAGGGGATTTTATGATTTTTGAAAAAGAAACAAATATGGATTTATAACATTTAACATATTGACAAGGGGTTTGAATATTTGCTTACAACATTATAAACAGCTGGTACCTACCATTTAATGAGAACCAGTCTGTTTGCTGACTTTGTGTGGTTTCCTCAAGCTTCTTGTCCTTATATTCAAAGGGTACACTATTGGAGAACATTGTGCCATCACAGGTTACATGGAGATTTATACAACCGGCTGCATGAGCTGTAACAAACACATCAGTGTTAAAAAAGAAACATTCCGATAATATATTCAGTATCAGTGGTACTGATACACATGTCCTCTCCCACATAAAACATCATCAGACATACACTGTACAGTCCCAACACAGAGATAATATAATGGAAATTAACTGAAGAACTTTTTTTATATGTCAAACATTTGTCTGTTGACAAAGGAAACTTTTTGTTCCTATCCACCGGTCAAAATCTGACACAGGTAATACCTCCGTGTCTTATCCTTGTCAATGGATACATTTTTTATACATAGTACTTTTCACCTAAATTATACCTTTGTTGTAAGTCAGAAATGATGAACGAAGGCTTTTCTACCCTTAGACACAGTGAACTCAGAAACTTCTGGATTTTCATTTAGATAATTTACCCCAAATTTCCATCCGAAGTCATTCGCAATTCTTTTGCAAACATTTATTTTCAACTCAAATATTGCTTTCATATAAAAGGCCCAAAGGGTCTAAACTGCTTACCTGGTTTGGTTTGGTTTGCTTTATCCAAACTGCAGTGGAAAGATTTTAAAGGTGAACAACTGTTTCCCCTTTTGGGCAATGCAACTCTGCCCCCAGAGGAGTAAAACCAATTATTTAAATGAAAATTGGTCTTTATAATCCAATGGCGTTAAACACGATTTGTCAAAATTACAAAATTCTAACAGACGAAGAGAAACACCAAAAAAAACCACCAGGTTTTCCCATTTGACTCTACCCATCAGGTCCCAGGGGGACAAAATCCAATGTTTATACCAACCTTGTTCCCCGAGCTTTCCTAAAGGATGCTTCTCACCAAATTTTGTAAAAATAACTAAATAAAGTACCTCCCCATGGAAGAAAGATTTTAATACTTTTCCCTTTTTTCTATGACAGGGCTACTCATTTTGCCCTTAGCTAGGAAGGTCAAACGAACCAGTTATGCAATATTGAGTCCTCTACACCCGAAGACACTTCAGACCTTACCTGGACAAATCTCCTGCAGAATAATTTGAGAGAATTTGTTAATCCTTCCTTTAGAGCCCCGCCCCTCAGGTCCCTAGGGTCCCAGCCCCACCTTTTATACAAAACGTATTCCTCTTCCCCCATGAATGCTTTTGACCAAATTTGGTGGGAAAACACTCGGTTGTGGTGACTAGTAGCCATTGATAGAAAAATGTAGGCGGACAGACAGAGGACAAATTCAGTGTCTTACCATAACCTCACTTGGTCCCTTTGGAAGAACAAAACAATCGAAAGAAATTCCACTTACCTGGAACACAACACTTGAGAACACCTGGTTGGACTAGTCTGGTTGGGACAGATTTACCATCAAACACACAAACATATTGAGCAGTGGCTGACAACCAGGATCCCACCACCAGCATTTTACACCCTCCCTGAAATCATTAAAACAATGAAAATTGAAAAATTATAATTTTGGATTCCCTTATCAAAAAAAGAAATTTAATCTTAAAACACTCTACAACCAAAAATGCAATGTTACATACCCACCGTAAAATATCAATCGTATGATAAACATCAAATTAAACATTGCTAGCAACACACATAATTTTTTTCAAAAGTATTTTTTAATGTGACAAATCATAGCTGTCAGACTACAACAGAGTCTTACTTAGTTTCCATTTTTAAAGATTTGAAAAATTTCCTTTTTTTTTATATTCAGTATATTCTGACGATATCCATTTCTCACCTCTGTATACGACCACTCTGGACAGTAGTCGGTGATTATGGCCCCGTTATTGCCGACAGGTGAATTAACTGTCAGTCTATCTGATGACATAACACTAACATTGGTTATCCCAGAATCTGCCATTTTCTCTACTTCTCGTTTGATGTGAACACTATGGCTACTAGCAGGTATATGCTGATGATGTAACATTGGATTATTTGTGACAGCCTGCTGCCGAATATGACCATGAGATTCGTTTAAATGTCCTTGACTCGACCTTTTGTTCTCTTGATTCACTTCTTGTCTTTGGTTGTTGATACTATTTCCACAATTAAGCATAGGAATCGGACCAGCCATTTCCTCACTTCGAGTGGTAAAGTTGTCACGAGATTCAGATGTACTCAAGTCATTCACAAGTTTTTCTACATCTGGAAAGTCTAGCAAATCAAGATTATCAAAACTGTAGTCTGTTGAGCCAAGGCTGGAGTTGAGACATCCAGAATCTGTCTCAATGCTGTTGGTAGGGTCCTTTCCTTGGCAATGTTCAAGATCTAAACTGTTGGTGTCTTTGGAATCACCAGTGTTATGAGATTGAATGAGAGTCTGCACATCCTCAGCAGTAATGGTCTGTAGCTGTGGCAAGAGTTTATGTGACTGAGATTGAATGACTGTCTGAACATCTTCAACAGTCACACGCTGCAAATGAGGTAAGATATTGAGCTTATTGCCTTTGTCCAGCTCCGCTTTCCTCTCGATGGTCTCATCAACAGTCACCTGCATCGGAACGACAGATTGGTCAGCGCTGCCGCCAGATACAAATGTATTGTTGGTCACAAGACTTTGATGCGTTGTGGCATTGTTCCCCGAGTTATCAGCAGACAGCACCTGTGCCTGGGTGGCAACAACAGGTGCTGGGAGGGTCACAGATAACGCCTGGAGATGTTGATGAGGGGGTGCTGTGTGCATGTTGTTCTGTAACTGGTCGCTAGGTAACTGAGTGATGAGGTGAGAGATGGGCTGTACATGACATGCAGCTGAGACAGTTATTGGGGTCTGCATGGCACTGACCTGCCCCCCTACAACCAGATACCGACTGGTACTGGGCAGGTGACCAAGACTAAGGATATAGGGCATGGGGGCAATGTCACCAGTTGTCACGGCAATATCCACCACTTTCTGACTCTGACTGATGGGAACCACCACACTGTCCTTCACACCAACAACTGTAGAACACCCCTGAGAAGAGAAACCAGTAATTGCATAATTCTTTCAAAGATTCTTAACTTAGCACAAAGAAATTTTAGCATAATTTATCTTTTGACAAATTGTTGCAAAGATGAATTTATGCATCCACAAAAACTGTAATGACCATAATCATATTTTAGTGTAATACATTCAGCCCCCCAAAAAATTCCTAAAATAAGATCACCACTTAAAACACATACACATGCAGTAAACATCATACAAAGGGATAGAATAGACATGACAAGATAAGGGGAATAACTCTTGTTTATTCTGACCTACCCATCAGACATCTAAGAATAACTCCTTACTGAGTTGTGTAATTTTTTATATCAAGTGAAACAACCTATAAACTATGATTAAATAACAGTAAATTTACTCTCTTAGGCAATCACACAAACTGTATGAGTATTAACGGTGAACTGCAAATATTTCTCTCTGAAAAAGTTTCTTGTAATCAGCATATCTACTATCTAGGGTATGGTGTTTGATTAGAAAAACTAGACAGCTGACCCTGAACAAGTTACCTGAGACTGAACTGCCTGTGAGATCTCTGGCCCCTTGGTGGCTAGACTTGCCATGATGGTCATCTGGGAGGAAGTCTTGGCCCCGCAGCAAGTGCCAATCTCAGCCTTGCGTGAGGCGTCAAGTTCGGCCAAGGTACCACGTGGAGAGAGCTTGTAGATGTTGTTGGAGTGAGAACAGATTGTATCACAGGGCTTATCACATTTGTGTGGTTTCGTTTTATCACAATTTTCATGGTACTCGAGTAAGTGTCGCACCAGGGCCTCCACCGACTCCTCAATCTGAAACACACAAATCATTATGATATAAAAACAAGCCAATGTCATGCAATCAGTTTATATTTTCTAAAAATTACCATTTCCTGACTTACAAGACATTTTGTAACATGCAACACCAGACTTCCTTACTAATTTCCAGATATTTAACACCAGAGTTGATATGCTTTACACAGTCTAGCAACATTGACCTACCATTTGTTCTGACTCCTCTCCTGGTCTGCCTGTTGAGACTGAAATGAAATAAATTAGGTTATTGGTTTTACTGAAAAATGCATCATAACTATCAAAATATTGCAGTTTTTTTTTCAAAATAGGTAGGAATAAAAACCATTTCATATACTACTGTTGCATTCTTGAGTAATGTTTGTAATGCTATAATCATTTAAAAAAATGAATGTAATAAAAAGGAACATAAATTATTCCAGTCTATGACCAAGTATTCATTGTTAGCACATAAGGGTGAACAAGTGGAAGAAGACCTTAACGATCACCTGAGGTCTTCAGGTCACTGGAGAGTTTTAGAATCTGTCTATCAGTCCCAGCTTTAGGTTAGACAGAACAGAACTGATATATGCATATTTAGAAAATTTTTATTATTTCTAAGTTTGAAGGCTTAATTTCCAATTAAATGAAACTGAGAACACTCTCTTTTGCTGTAGTTCAGCATATTAGACCCCTGTGAACTTTAATGAAGGTCAAGGTCAATCATTTGAACAAACCTGATATCCCTTCATCTCAGCATGATCCTGGGCATTTTCGTTATTGAGAAAAAGACATTTTGACATATTTGATACATATGACCTTAAAAGTGGGTCATGGTCAATAATATGAACAAACTTGGTAGAACTTCATTCCAGATGCAGGTGCAATATCAGCATCCTGTGTTTATTAAGAAATCATTATTTTAACATTTAAATATATTTGACATTGATGACCTTGAAAATGAGTTAAGGTCATTCATTTAAACAAACTTGGTAGCCCTTCATCCCATCATACTACAGGCCCTATATCAGCACTCTAGGGTTTTTGGTTATTGAAAAGATGTCGTTTAAAGATTTCAATTAATTTGACACCTGTTACCGTGAAAGTGAGTCAAGGTCATTCCTTTCAACAATCTTGGTAGCCCTTCAACCCAGCATGCTACAGGCCCAATATCAGCATTCTGGGCCTTTTGGTTATTAAGAAGTCAAAAATATCAATTGTTTATGACACCAAACAAATGGCATCGCAATAGACTTTGTCCAAGGTGACCTAAATATACAACTAAAATTATCTGCAGTACAATATTTACACATGGGTCTTAGTTGGTCTATGAGTTCCTCTTTGGTCCATTCCTTCTTCTCAAAGGCCTGAGATATAACTGGAATTTTCATCTTAGTATTGTCTTGGTAGGGAACATTTAAATAGTGTACTATCACAATGTCAGGGTTCTGAAAAAAAAAGACAAAAATGTCTTCAATGTAACCAAAACCTACCACAACTTAAAAAGCTTGACCAATACCATAAGGTAACCAAAATCTGATACAACTGATAAAGTCAACTAATACCATGAGGTTACCATATAGCTACGAATACCTACAAGATAAGTCAAGAATAATCTGCCTTGATAAATACAATTTTCCATAATGTGTAATTAAGATATAAGTTTATCTTTCAAGGTTTACGTCCTTAAAAACAAAAATACAATGTGGAATATCTTTGTGATTTGCAAAATATAATTCCTTTTTTAACCATTAATAAATGCCACATAACAGAATGTTTTGTTTTCATGGGGTATGACACAACTTATTTTTGAAATCATTTTCTCCCCTTACCTGCAGTAACCAGTAGCAACGTCGATGGAAAGTTGGTAGTATGTCAGAGTGTACATAGGAACCATAAATACACTGAAAAACAAAAAACCATTACTCTGTTAGGGTATTTAGATTTAAAACAATGTAAACAGTAGTCATATTTGATACAATGTCAACAGCATCCTTGTTTAATACAATGTCAACAGTATCCTTGTTTAATACAATGTCAACAGTATCCTTGTTTAATACAATGTCAACAGTATCCTTGTTTAATACGATGTCAATAGAATCCTTATTTCATGCAGTGTCATTAGTATATTATCCTTATTTCTAATGCAATTTCAAAATACTTTGATTAACAACAATATTAAAATATCAACATTTATTACATGGTACAAGTATCCACATTTATTACATGGCACAAGTTCCAACATTTATTACATGGTACAAGTATCCAACATTTATTACATGGCACAAGTATCCACATTTATTACATGGCACAAGTATCCACATTTATTACATGGTACAAGTATCCACATTTATTACATGGTACAAGTATCCACATTTATTACATGGCACAAGTATCCACATTTATTACATGGCACAAGTATCCACATTTATTACATGGCACAAGTATCCACATTTATTACATGGTACAAGTACCAACATTTATTACATGGCACAAGTTCCAACATTTATTACATGGTACAAGTAATCACATTTATCACATGGCACAAGTTATCACATTAATAACACACTATAGATATTGTCATTTATAACACAGTGCAGTATACACAAATCAGATTATGCCAGACACACAGATTTTGAAGATTCATGTATATTGCCTTTCCAGAAGACTCACAACTCTTACACTTTATCATTCTTGCTACATATAAAGATGCGAGTTCATTTTTTCTAAAATATTTTACTGGCTAAGTTGTTGATACTTCAGTCAGTAAACTGCTTACAAACACAAACTGATTTGGAAATAAATAACCTTAGAGATTCAGAAAATCAAACTCTTCTGACAATAGAAAAAGTTTCAAAATACAAAGCTTGTTAACTTTAATGAGTATTGTGTAGACGTGGTTCTGCCAAGAAGTCTGGTGATTTGGGATAGGACAGTTGTTTCTGTGTTACTCTGTCTACCAAGTGTCTAACCATATGTATCATTGTTGAGCTGGTAGGTAAAGCCACCAGACCCATTACCACAGGAGGTTTGGTGGGAATCTACCAAATTCAATCTACCAACAACAAACCCAAGTCTAACCAGATTGAGCTCTTCACACAGGGTAAAGCTAGAAGAGATACAGTCCCTAGAGATAGGCAGCTGACGACTTCCCAATACAAGCATTGCAGGCGTCTGAAGGCTAGTACTGTATAATCAATAAAATTAAAGGGCGACTTTACCTAGTATTGAGACTAACCTAACACTTTGCTGGAGACTGATAGATTCTGTTTCCACTATACCATCACTATGATGTATTGTTTCAATCTAAAATGTTTTTCCAACTATCTCATCAACTTGATGAGTATGATTGACTACATAATGACTTAAAAACATTCAGGTGAAATGAGATCCTGGAACACTCTAGAGAGAAAATTGCGCAGGTTTTGATCACAATTCAGCAGGTTTGTACTTCTACTTTTTATGGTTATGTTATCTACAAGATCACACATTTAAACGTTGTGAAATTGTAGAGTCTTATTATCATTCCAAAATTGTAGTTTCTGACATGATGTCTTTCCAAGAGTAAAGTAGAAATGCTCTGAAAACCATTTATACTTCATGTCATTCATCAAAATACAGGTAATTGAAATCCTCCAGAAACTATGATTAAAATACAGGTAACTGAAATCAGCTAAGATCCTATTAAAATACAGGTAATTGAAATCAGCTAAGATCCTATTAAAATACAGGTAATTGAAATCAGCTAAGATCCTATTAAAATACAGGTAATTGAAATCCTCCAGAAACTATGATTAAAATACAGGTAACTGAAATCAGCTAAGATCCTATTAAAATACAAGTAATTGAAATCAGCTAAGATCCTATTAAAATACAGGTAATTGAAATCAGCTAAGAACATATTAAAACACAGGTAATTGAAATCAGCTAAGATCCTATTAAAACACAGGTAATTGAAATCAGCTAAGATCCTATTAAAATACAGGTAATTGAAATCAGCTAAGATCCTTTTAAAATACAGGTAATTGAAATCAGCTAAGATCCTATTAAAACACCAGTAATTGAAATCAGCTAAGATCCTATTAAAACACAGGTAATTGAAATCAGCTAAGATCCTATTAAAACACAGGGAATTGAAATCAGCTAAGATCCTATTAAAACACAGGTAATTGAAATCAGCTAAGATCCTATTAAAACACAGGGAATTGAAATCAGCTAAGATCCTATTAAAACACAGGTAATTGAAATCAGCTAAGATCCTATTAAAACACAGGAAATTGAAATCAGCTAAGATCCTATTAAAACACAGGGAATTGAAATCAGCTAAGATCCTATTAAAACACAGGTAATTGAAATCCTTCAGAAACTATGATTAAAAGCCTGAGAAAGAAAAGATAAAAAATAATCTTATGGTGGCAAACATATTGTTTTGCACTTAGTGACCTCTTGTCAGCTCCCTCGGGAATTAGCCATTATTGATAAGTTTCATTCCAATAGTAAGTTGATGACTACCAAAACAAACAAGAGAATCAGTAAAACTGCTGCTCCCCAAAAGCAACTTTATTGGACAAAAATCTTTTAACAAAATTAAGGCAATAATACTGTAATTAAGGGGTTACAGACCCTGAATTTTTACTTTTCTTTCAATCACTTTTTCTCTTTGTCCCCTTCAAGGCTTCAAAATTTAGGCCCTTAGCATCACTGAGGAGTCCTAGAAGGACAAGACAGCTGTATGATGCAGTTTAATCCTCTGCTTTATTTAACTCTAAATTATTGAAAGGTGCTATTCACTAGTGTGTCTTTTGTACAATGTTAGGTACACTGCTTATTGCTTCAGTATGACCGATGTATACATCACATTTCATTCTTAATGCATGCCAAGTTACACTCTGGACACAACATTTTAACAACAGACAATAACTCTGTAATTAACGGGGTTGCGGACCCTGTCTTTGGTACATTGCATATCGTCTTAGTATGGTCAATGTTAACATCAAGTTTTATTATCCTAGTATAATTACAAGCAAAGTTGTGCTTATGACACAAAATAATAACAAAAGTAACTTTGTAATTGATAGGCTGTGGGCCCTGAATTTGGTACACTGCACATTGCCTTAGTATGACCAAAGTATACACCAAATTTCTTAAATTGCTTAATTGTGGGCAAAGTTTTTTTTAATATGCTCCATACATGAAATGATGGGCAGAAAGATGGACGGACAGATAAAGCCAGCAACTATATTCTCCCCTTGAAAATTTTCATTGAGCATAAAAATTTTATCAGACCCCATCCTTCATCCCCAAGGTGATTTACAAATTCTAATATGGCACCTATCTTAGACAAAGCCATTTTGACTTTTATATACTTTCATATGTACAACGTAATGACTTCTATCAATGAAAATGTTTTGCTATAAATTTCTAAATAACCAGAAAAAGAAGTCCCCAGAGTGGTGAGATGAATTCAGGACGAAAAAGAAGTGACACATGATATGGATTTAGGACGAAAAAGAAGTGACACATGATATGGATTTAGGACAAAAAAGAAGTGACACATGATATGGATTTAGGACAAAAAAGAAGTGACACATATGATATGGATTTAGGACAAAAAAGAAGTGACACATATGATATGGATTTAGGACGAGACAGAATTGATACAAATGACATGGATTTCAGAACAAGACAGAATTGATACAAATGACATTAAATATGATTATTGAAAACTGACATGAAATATGATTATTGAAAACTGAGAGACATGATTATTATCAATGTTTAATAAAATCAATATTGAAACATTAAACTTATTATGATGATTAATATTCATCACTTATTGTTGATATTGACAAACATATAAGACTGCATTTGATTTTTGAAAATATATTCAGTGATCTCCTTAAGGGAAAGATTGTATATAATTTAATTCTATAGAAAGAAATTTTCCCCTCTATTAAGATCACCTCATCTCACCCTGAAGGCTCATGTTTAAGTCATGTTTTTCTTTGTACTATATAATGGATTCAAACTGATATAGGTCATAGAAATCGTACAAGATTTACCTCTAATCCCTGAACTTTCAACTTCATATGATCTTCTCGGATATTTTTTCCATCTTTTCGCTTTTTCCAGCAGTAGCCATCTTTTCTGTATCGTACCTTCTTGCGGCTGTACAGCAGCATTGATCCACTGGGAGGTCTTAAAGAGAGATTCAGCAATGTCACCCAAGCATTACAGACTCAAAAATGTCATTCTGGGCCTTGGAGATCCAGCAATGTAACCCCAAGCCTAAGAGATTTGGCAAAGTCACCCTGGGTGTTGGCAATGTTACCCCAGGCCTAAAGAGATTCCTCAAGGTTGCTATGGGCCTAAATCATTCAACAATGTCACACTGGATGTTACAGATTCAGCAATTTTATCCCAGGGCTAAGAGATTCAGTAACATTACCATGGCCCTTAAATATTCAGCAATGTCACACTGGGCCTTAGAGATTCAGCAATGTCACCCTGGGCCTTAGAGATTCAGCAATGTCACCGTAAGCCTTAGAGATTCAGCAATGTCACCTTTAGCCTTAGAGAGTCAGCAATGTCATCCAAGGCCTTACTGAGTCAGCAATGTCATCCCAGGCCTTACTGAGTCAGCAATGTCATCCCGGGCCTTAGAGAGTCAGCAATGTCATCCCAGGCCTTAATGAGTCAGCAATGTCATCCCAGGCCTTTCTGAGTCAGCAATGTCATCCCAGGCCTTAGAGAGTCAGCAATGTCATCCCAGGCCTTACTGAGTCAGCAATGTCATCCCAGGCCTTAGAGAGTCAGCAATGTCATCCGAGGTTTTGGAGTTTCAGCAATGTCAACTTGGGCTTTAGAGAGTAAGCTATGTAACCCTAGGCTTTACAGATTCAGAAATGTCACCCTGGGCTTTCATGAGTCAATGCCATCCCAGGCCTTAAAGATTCAGCAATGTCACATTTAAAGTATTTCAAATAAGTAAAAGGTACTTCAGGGTTGGTACAGTGGGTATTCTGAAGGATAAAAAAGGTATCTTAATGAAAATCAAATTATACATTTTATATAAACCTAGTTATCCAATTTCTGACAAAAACAAATTTACAACCATACTATTAGATATTCAAATGCTGCTGGTACATAGAACCAAAAACAGTAGTACTTACCGGACTTTCATCTCCACATGCATCCATTCTTTATGCTTGTCAAATGCAATAAGAATTGATGCTATCTCCTGGATAAATGAAAACAAACATAAAATTTTAACAAATTTAACATAAAACAATTAACGTTATATGGGATTCACTCCAAAAAAAACTAAAGTACAAAGTTTTTCTCTAATTCTAAATTAAGATGTGAACTCTACAATTCAATAAGGGATTGCAGTTCACCAGAACTAATTTTGATGATCCAACAAAGTTAATATACACCTGTCTACCAAGTGTTGGATCCTGTATATATTGGGGGTGTCTGTGATGACAACAAAGTTAATATATACCTGTCTACCAAGTGTTGGATCCTGTATATATTGGGGATGTCTGTCATGACAACAAAGTTAATATACACCTGTCTACACCTGTCTATCAAGTGTTGGATCCTGTATATATTGGGGATGTCTGTCATGACAACAAAGTTAATATACACCTGTCTACCAAGTGTTGGATCCTGTATATATTGGGGATGTCTGTGGTGACAACAAAGTTAATATACACCTGTCTACCAAGTGTTGGATCCTGTATATATTGGGGATGTCTGTCATGACAACAAAGTTAATATACACCTGTCTACCAAGTGTTGGATCCTGTATATATTGGGGATGTCTGTCATGACAACAAAGTTAATATACACCTGTCTACCAAGTGTTGGATCCTGTATATATTGGGGATGTCTGTCATGACAACAAAGTTAATATACACCTGTCTACCAAGTGTTGGATCCTGTATATATTGGGGATGTCTGTCATGACAACAAAGTTAATATACACCTGTCTACCAAGTGTTGGATCCTGTATATATTGGGGATGTCTGTGGTGACAACAAAGTTAATATACACCTGTCTACCAAGTGTTGGATCCTGTATATATTGGGGATGTCTGTCATGACAACAAAGTTAATATACACCTGTCTACCAAGTGTTGGATCCTGTATATATTGGGGATGTCTGTCATGTATATATTGGGGATATACCTGTCTACCAAGTGTTGGATCCTGTATATATTGGGGATGTCTGTGGTGACAACAAAGTTAATATACACCTGTCTACCAAGTGTTGGATCCTGTATATATTGGGGATGTCTGTCATGACAACAAAGTTAATATACACCTGTCTACCAAGTGTTGGATCCTGTATATATTGGGGATGTCTGTCATGACAACAAAGTTAATATACACCTGTCTACCAAGTGTTGGATCCTGTATATATTGGGGATGTCTGTCATGACAACAAAGTTAATATACACCTGTCTACCAAGTGTTGGATCCTGTATATATTGGGGATGTCTGTCATGACAACAAAGATACCATACACCTGTCTACCAAGTGTTGGATCCTGTATATATTGGGGATGTCTGTCATGACAACAAAGTTAATATACACCTGTCTATCAAGTGTTGGATCCTGTATATATTGGGGATGTCTGTCATGACAACAAAGATAATATATACCTGTCTACCAAGTGTTGGATCCTGTATATATTGGGGATGTCTGTCATGACAACAAAGTTAATATACACCTGTCTACCAAGTGTTGGATCCTGTATATATTGGGGATGTCTGTCATGACAACAAAGATAATATATACCTGTCTACCAAGTGTTGGATCCTGTATATATTGGGGATGTCTGTCATGACAACAAAGTTAATATACACCTGTCTATCAAGTGTTGGATCCTGTATATATTGGGGATGTCTGTGGTGACAACAAAGTTAATATACACCTGTCTACCAAGTGTTGGATCCTGTATATATTGGGGATGTCTGTCATGACAACAAGTGACCTATACAGTCTGTATCGCTCACCTGACTTTGTTTAGTTGAAATTGTTTTACCAAAACTAAACGAAAAGGAATTTTAAAGGTTTACAACTATATCCCATTTTGCCTCCACCCCTCTGCCCCATCGGGTCAGCAAAACCACCTATACATTAGCCATCTTTACCTAAGGTTGCTCTAATTTTTTGCGAACCGCTCCTCCCGCCTTAGGCGGGGCGAAGACCTACATTTATCCAAACTTTATTTCCTTTTACCCTATCATGCTATAAACAAAATTGTTACAGAATCCTGATAGTCTTATAGAAGAAGAAGTGTCATCGATAATCTTATCTTTATCCTCTTTTAGGTCCTGTAACTCCAACCCCGGGAGCTAAGACCAACCGAAAAGATGATTTTCCCTCTCCAAAAGATGTTTCATACCAAACTGAGGCAGAATCCTGGCATTTCTATAGAAGAAGTATTTCATAGAATTTACCCCCTTTGGGCAGCATCCTTCTTGTCCCAGGAGGTTGACACCAACCCATTATATAAAATTGATTCCCCTCCTCCCTACTTCAGTCCTATTTAGGACAGAATCCTCACTTTCCTAAAGGAGAAGGATCTTAAAATAATTTGGCCTATTTTTCTTATTGAGGCCTTCCTTTCCTGGTTCTGGGACCAAGACACATCATTATACAAAACTTCACCCAGAATCCAGGCAGTATCACAGAAGAAATTTTTTAAAAGAATTTGTTCTCTATACCAGATTGGACTAGTGATTCTGCTGCACCAAGGAACTGAAGCCTACTGTTAATACAAAAACTGATTCCTCAAGTATACTTCAGATCAAATTGGGATAGAATCCAGACACTCCATTCCATTTCATGGAAGAAGAATTAAGTATCTCAGAGAATTTACTCTATTTCCCTGTTTGGCTTTAAACCTCATGGCCCCATGTGGCCGAGACACACTGTTCAAACAAAACTGAATTCCCTTCACTTCACTTCACTTCAGACCAAATTTGAACAAAATTCAACCAATCCAATTACACAGAAGGATTTTGCAGAATTTACAAAATTTCCCTTTTTTTCCCACACCCTTTAGGCCCTGGTGGGGTTTAGATCCACTATATACACAAAAGTTGGATACTTCTGACTGATGACAGATGCCACATATGTGAGAAGTTTAACTTGGTCCTTCGTACCAGGAGAGCTAATAGGTCAATACAGACCTTATTTATCTATATTACACATAACATAACTAATTTTTCTTTAGTTTAACATTCTTCCAAAAACCTTCAAAATCAAATTTATATTCTTTTTCATTTCCATATAAATATATTGAACCATGACTTGATTTTTCTTGAGTTACCTCCCTTGACTTTAACAAAGCAGTGGAAGAAGTTGAAACATTTTTTTTTATTTTTATTTCTTTTAGTTTTGTTTATATTTATTTCTGTTATCAAAATTATTCTTGTACTGTGTAAAGTCTACATGTCACACTTGATAATTGCAAAAATCATGACTTTTGAATTCACTGAACGTGATTTTTTTTAAATCAAAGACTGAATACAATTTTCACAATATGATTAAGTAATATGTTACACACTATTAACTGCCAAAAAGATTTCTGACAGGAGAGATGAAGTAAACAGGTGTATAAGACTTTACAGAAGATTCTGTGATGATACTTGAAGGGGTACACCCTTTTAAATGTGTTACCAATAATTAGCATGATTATGTTCTGTTTGTAGACAGGATCGTCAGCCCCCAAGTGCCAACTAACAAGCTTCAGATCAAAAACTATGATGTAAGCCACTGCGCTTTGTTACAGGTTCATCATCAATCTTGCATGACAACATGTACCAAAACAATGCTTTATCTTCAGCGTGTAGTTTGATGACCTTGAGCAAGGTATTTTCTCATACATGTTTGAAATGTTAATCCATGTAAACTTTGCTCAGAATGTATGGTGTTAGCTAGCTACTCAGAAACCATTCTACACTGAAGTATCAAGTATTCCCTGCATAATATAATTGTAATAATGATGTTGTAATGAGAGCTGTTTAATCTGACAACTAACCAATAGGTTGTGTGACTCTGACATCTTGTCTAATCTGACAACTGACCAATAGGTTGTGTGACTATGACATCTTGTCTATTCTGACAACTGACCAATAGGTTGTGTGATTCTGACATCTTGTCTATTCTGACAACTAACCAATAGGTTGTGTGATTCTGACATCTTGTCTAATCTGACAACTGACCAATAGGTTGTGTGACTATGACATCTTGTCTATTCTGACAACTAACCAATAGGTTGTGTGATTCTGACATCTTGTCTATTCTGACAACTGACCAATAGGTTGTGTGACTCTGACATCTTGTCTATTCTGACAACTAACCAATAGGTTGTGTGATTCTGACATCTTGTCTATTCTGACAACTAAACAATAGGTTGTGTGATTCTGACATCTTGTCTATTCTGACAACTAACCAATAGGTTGTGTGACTATGACATCTTGTCTATTCTGAGAACTAACCAATAGGTTGTGTGATTCTGACATCTTGTCTATTCTGACAACTAACCAATAGGTTGTGTGATTCTAACATCTTGTCTATTCTGACAACTGACCAATAGGTTGTGTGATTCTAACATCTTGTCTATTCTGACAACTGACCAATAGGTTGTGTGACTATGACATCTTGTCTATTCTGACAACTAACCAATAGGTTGTGTGACTCTGACATCTTGTCTATTCTGACAACTAACCAATAGGTTGTGTGATTCTGACATCTTGTCTATTCTGACAACTAAACAATAGGTTGTGTGATTCTGACATCTTGTCTATTCTGACAACTAACCAATAGGTTGTGTGACTATGACATCTTGTCTATTCTGACAACTAACCAATAGGTTGTGTGATTCTGACATCTTGTCTATTCTGACAACTAAACAATAGGTTGTGTGATTCTGACATCTTGTCTATTCTGACAACTAACCAATAGGTTGTGTGACTATGACATCTTGTCTATTCTGACAACTAAACAATAGGTTGTGTGATTCTGACATCTTGTCTATTCTGACAACTAACCAATAGGTTGTGTGACTATGACATCTTGTCTAATCTGACAACTGACCAATAGGTTGTGTGACTATGACATCTTGTCTATTCTGACAACTGACCAATAGGTTGTGTGATTCTGACATCTTGTCTAATCTGACAACTGACCAATAGGTTGTGTGACTATGACATCTTGTCTATTCTGACAACTAACCAATAGGTTGTGTGACTCTGACATCTTGTCTATTCTGACAACTGACCAATAGGTTGTGTGACTATGACATCTTGTCTATTCTGACAACTGACCAATAGGTTGTGTGATTCTGACATCTTGTCTATTCTGACAACTAACCAATAGGTTGTGTGATTCTGACATCTTGTCTAATCTGACAACTGACCAATAGGTTGTGTGACTATGACATCTTGTCTATTCTGACAACTGACCAATAGGTTGTGTGATTCTGACATCTTGTCTATTCTGACAACTAACCAATAGGTTGTGTGATTCTGACATCTTGTCTAATCTGACAACTGACCAATAGGTTGTGTGACTATGACATCTTGTCTATTCTGACAACTAACCAATAGGTTGTGTGATTCTGACATCTTGTCTATTCTGACAACTGACCAATAGGTTGTGTGACTCTGACATCTTGTCTATTCTGACAACTAACCAATAGGTTGTGTGATTCTGACATCTTGTCTATTCTGACAACTAAACAATAGGTTGTGTGATTCTGACATCTTGTCTATTCTGACAACTAACCAATAGGTTGTGTGACTATGACATCTTGTCTATTCTGACAACTAACCAATAGGTTGTGTGATTCTGACATCTTGTCTATTCTGACAACTAACCAATAGGTTGTGTGATTCTAACATCTTGTCTATTCTGACAACTGACCAATAGGTTGTGTGATTCTAACATCTTGTCTATTCTGACAACTGACCAATAGGTTGTGTGACTATGACATCTTGTCTATTCTGACAACTAACCAATAGGTTGTGTGACTCTGACATCTTGTCTATTCTGACAACTAACCAATAGGTTGTGTGATTCTGACATCTTGTCTATTCTGACAACTAAACAATAGGTTGTGTGATTCTGACATCTTGTCTATTCTGACAACTAACCAATAGGTTGTGTGACTATGACATCTTGTCTATTCTGACAACTAACCAATAGGTTGTGTGATTCTGACATCTTGTCTATTCTGACAACTAAACAATAGGTTGTGTGACTCTGACATCTTGTCTATTCTGACAACTAACCAATAGGTTGTGTGATTCTGACATCTTGTCTATTCTGACAACTAAACAATAGGTTGTGTGATTCTGACATCTTGTCTATTCTGACAACTAACCAATAGGTTGTGTGACTATGACATCTTGTCTAATCTGACAACTGACCAATAGGTTGTGTGACTATGACATCTTGTCTATTCTGACAACTGACCAATAGGTTGTGTGATTCTGACATCTTGTCTAATCTGACAACTGACCAATAGGTTGTGTGACTATGACATCTTGTCTATTCTGACAACTAACCAATAGGTTGTGTGACTCTGACATCTTGTCTATTCTGACAACTGACCAATAGGTTGTGTGACTATGACATCTTGTCTATTCTGACAACTGACCAATAGGTTGTGTGATTCTGACATCTTGTCTATTCTGACAACTAACCAATAGGTTGTGTGATTCTGACATCTTGTCTAATCTGACAACTGACCAATAGGTTGTGTGACTATGACATCTTGTCTATTCTGACAACTAAACAATAGGTTGTGTGATTCTGACATCTTGTCTATTCTGACAACTGACCAATAGGTTGTGTGATTCTAACATCTTGTCTATTCTGACAACTGACCAATAGGTTGTGTGACTATGACATCTTGTCTATTCTGACAACTAACCAATAGGTTGTGTGACTCTGACATCTTGTCTATTCTGACAACTAACCAATAGGTTGTGTGATTCTGACATCTTGTCTATTCTGACAACTAAACAATAGGTTGTGTGATTCTGACAACTGACAACTAACCAATAGGTTGTGTGACTATGACATCTTGTCTATTCTGACAACTAACCAATAGGTTGTGTGAGTATGACATCTTGTCTATTCTGACAATCTTGTGTGATTCTGACAATTCTGACAACTAACCAATAGGTTGTGTGACTATGACATCTTGTCTATTCTGACAACTAAACAATAGGTTGTGTGATTCTGACATCTTGTCTATTCTGACAACTAACCAATAGGTTGTGTGACTATGACATCTTGTCTATTCTGACAACTGACCAATAGGTTGTGTGACTATGACATCTTGTCTATTCTGACAACTGACCAATAGGTTGTGTGACATCTTGTCTAATCTGACATCTGTGTCTATTCTGACAACTGACCAATAGGTTGTGTGATCTTGTCTATTCTGACAACATAGGTTGTGTCTGATCTTGTCTAATCTGACAACTGACCAATAGGTTGTGTGACTATGACATCTTGTCTATTATGAAAACTAACCAATAGGTTGTGTGACTATGATATCTTGTCTATTCTGACAACTGACCAATAGGTTGTGTGATTCTGACATCTTGTCTAATCTGACAACTGACCAATAGGTTGTGTGACTATGACATCTTGTCTATTCTGACAACTAACCAATAGGTTGTGTGATTCTGACATCTTGTCTATTCTGACAACTAACCAATAGGTTGTGTGACTCTGACATCTTGTCTATTCTGACAACTGACCAATAGGTTGTGTGACTATGACATCTTGTCTAATCTGACAACTGACCAATAGGTTGTGTGACTATGACATCTTGTCTAATCTGACAACTGACCAATAGGTTGTGTGACTATGACATCTTGTCTAATCTGACAACTGACCAATAGGTTGTGTGACTATGACATCTTGTCTATTATGAAAACTAACCAATAGGTTGTGTGACTATGACATCTTGTCTATTCTGACAACTAACCAATAGGTTGTGTGATTCTGACATCTTGTCTAATCTGACAACTGACCAATAGGTTGTGTGACTATGACATCTTGTCTATTCTGACAACTAACCAATAGGTTGTGTGATTCTGACATCTTGTCTATTATGAAAACTAACCAATAGGTTGTGTGACTATGACATCTTGTCTAATCTGACAACTGACCAATAGGTTGTGTGACTATGACATCTTGTCTAATCTGACAACTGACCAATAGGTTGTGTGACTATGACATCTTGTCTATTCTGACAACTAACCAATAGGTTGTGTGATTCTGACATCTTGTCTAATCTGACAACTGACCAATAGGTTGTGTGACTATGACATCTTGTCTATTCTGACAACTAACCAATAGGTTGTGTGATTCTGACATCTTGTCTATTCTGACAACTAACCAATAGGTTGTGTGATTCTGACATCTTGTCTAATCTGACAACTGACCAATAGGTTGTGTGACTATGACATCTTGTCTATTCTGACAACTAACCAATAGGTTGTGTGATTCTGACATCTTGTCTAATCTGACAACTGACCAATAGGTTGCGTGACTATGACATCTTGTCTAATCTGACAACTGACCAATAGGTTGTGTGACTATGACATCTTGTCTAATCTGACAACTGACCAATAGGTTGTGTGACTATGACATCTTGTCTAATCTGACAACTGACCAATAGGTTGTGTGAATATGACATCTTGTCTAATCTGACAACTGACCAATAGGTTGTGTGACTATGACATCTTGTCTATTCTGACAACTAACCAATAGGTTGTGTGATTCTGACATCTTGTCTAATCTGACAACTGACCAATAGGTTGTGTGACTATGACATCTTGTCTATTCTGACAACTAACCAATAGGTTGTGTGACTCTGACATCTTGTCTATTCTGACAACTAACCAATAGGTTGTGTGATTCTGACATCTTGTCTATTCTGACAACTAACCAATAGGTTGTGTGATTCTGACATCTTGTCTAATCTGACAACTGACCAATAGGTTGTGTGATTCTGACATCTTGTCTATTCTGACAACTAACCAATAGGTTGTGTAACTATGACATCTTGTCTAATCTGACAACTGACCAATAGGTTGTGTGACTATGACATCTTGTCTAATCTGACAACTGACCAATAGGTTGTGTGATTCTGACATCTTGCCTTAGCTGACAACTGACCAATAGGTTGTGTAATTCTTACATCTTGTCTATTCTGACAACTAACCAAACCGTTGTGTGTCACGTGTGTGTGATAAGAGGGGGAGACTTTACACTTTAAGGGAGTGTGTTTACCTCATTAGTGTTCCATCGATGGCGGACGCCAGGGAACTCTGCAGCAGGTTTGATGCCCTCCAATTGCTTAGGAAGTGTGAAGGTACTACCAGTACTGCTACCATTGTCTGTGGAAAAAAACGATCACATGTAATTGTAGTCTAGCCATCTGGCAGACAGGATGGAAGTGTTTAAGAAGGTATGTTGTTCTCTTACAGAAAGTACAGATAACATGATAATATTTGGTGAAACACTGTACATAGTGTTGATGACAAATAGCCTAAGACTATCATGATATATCAAAGTTTAAATTGGCAATTTAGGTGAAAGAAGGTTGTTATGAAGAGAAAGATTTGGGGTGGAAAACAAGAGGCCCAATGGACCTCTATTGCTTATTTGGTATTCAAAGCTTTTCACAAATACAATGTATATATTAACATTTCACATCATTGACATTCAAATTCTTGATTGAAGAGAGGAATTTGTGTGAAGGTTTTAATGAATTTGACATCTGTGACCTTGAACAAGGGTAAATCTTCTCACCAAATATCATGATCCTTGGCCTCATGGTTACTTAAAAGACCTACAGAAACTGAAAAGTTGACAGTAAACAAAGCCCAGGCACCGTAACATGACATTAGCCCTTTGGGCTAGGTGAACTTTTAATAAAAAGCAAAGAATTTTCATGGAAAAGGAAAATTTGGACAAATTTTGAGGTATAGTTGTAATGGGGAGAACAATGACTGTCAACTGTCTGGAGTGAACATAGCAACAAACTTTATATTGATAAGATTTTTAAATTACAGAAAAGAGCAGCCAGGATATTCTTACTCCATCCAACACCCTTTTTGAAAAATTAAAATGGATACTTTTAGCAGATTTTTACGTTTTTAGGAAAATTATTCTTTCTTACAAAATTCTTCATTGCGAGTCCCCAGGGTCTTTAGCAAATATGTTTTCTTATGTCAAAAATGTTAACAGCAGATCCACTAGAGCTTCTGAATCAAAAATAACTGTATGTTCCAACCGCCAGAACAAATTATTTCAAAAGGGCCTTTGTATATACATGTTCTGTTTTATGAATGAAGTAAGTAATGCAGTTAGAGACTCCAACAGTATTGGGGTTTTTAAAAGCAGATACCTGCAATATTACTTCATCAAGTCTTGGATTTATTCCACCATTTTTATATATGTACTAGCCCATTTTTAAAAAAATAAACAAATAAATAAAAAAAATCTTTTAGTATATATGAGTAGCATATCTGCGATTATCTCTTTAATATTAAAATTATATTAATTATATAAATTATATAATAAAATTGATCTTAGTTTCCAAATTTTGTTTATGATCAGTTAAGTCAAATGTAATTTGATAATTTTCTATGATAAATTACCCCACCAACTTCAATGTTTCTTTGTAATACACACTATATTAGTGTATATTCTGTCAATTTTCACCTTTTGCTATTTGCATTGTATGTATATATGACTATGATAGTGCTTTAATCTTCACATTTAGTAACATTTGTGTGATTATGCAAGTGTTCAAAAATAAATTACATTAAAATTTTTATGATAACCACGATATTGTAAGTAACATGACTGTGATACAAGTACTATATTGCATTGTTATACTATCATCTTTAATTGTTATCATGCTTGTATATATCTATTGTTGCAGGGCCATATTGTAAACCAGACATTGTCTAAATACATAACCCTGGTTAAATAAAAGATATTATTATTATTATTATTATTATCATTATAATGACTGAAACAAAAGAGAAAGAACAAGACAAGGAAGTAAACCACAGTCTCCAATCAAATTTGAAATAATATGTGAAGAATGTACTGTAAGTAAGTCCATGCCCCAAGTTAGAGTGACTAGTATTTAAGAGATCAAGTCCACACAACTTTTCTTTTACGTCAGTCAAAGGTCAAAATATATCAGAGTGACCTACTTTTAATACACCACACACCGCCACACCAAGGTGAAGGTAAAGTATGAAGTTCCTTTCACTAGTAGTGCAAGAGCTAAGATCCAGACAAACTTTTTCTTTGATGTAGGTCAAAGGTCAAAATTTAAAATGTAGGTCACAATGACCTACATTTGATACATCACATGCTGCCTCACGAAAGTGAACTCATACCCCAAGTATAGAATTCCAGTGGCTAGTAGTTTAGGAGATAGCGCCCAGACAAACCTTTTTACCTAGATGTAAAGTATCAGTCAGAGTGACGAGGGGAAGTAATTTGGGGCAAATAAAGGGTACTTCCACAACAAAGTTTTAACTTTCAAATCCATCTCCTGTTCTACCCATATGAGCCTAGAGAATTTATCAATGCAATCAAGAAAGTAATTAAGTAAACTTTTACTGTCAAATTCCAAGATGGCAACCTGTGAGCCTTTTTGCTAGGTGAATCAAAAATTTGTAACACTTACAAGCTACAACTATCTCTCAGTATATGTGACATATTACATAAGGATAACACAGAAAAAATGACATTTTCTAGGGAAAGATCAATACTGTAGGTATTATTTACATATATGCATATCTACGTCATTGAAAACCTGAAGGAATCTGTAATAACCATGGTCTGTCAGTACTGCACCATCAAAAGCAATGAAACACCAGGACCATAAGTGAATTTGGTTTGCAAATTTGTACCTAATATATATACACACAGAACAATATGGTATTGGGTATGAATAATTAAGGTTTGTTAGTCTGGTCTTGTATTCTCAAAGCACCACACTACTTAATGTTTTTTATACAGAATCTTGGAAATGTGTCTTCCTTTTAAATCAAAACATTTTTTTTTTTCATCAGATATCTTCTTTCTGCAGTGATATACATATTCCCTTTCTGCAGAGATATACATATTCAGTTGAAGCAAAGTAATATAACAAACAAATTCATTTTTAAAAACAAAAAATTTAAACTGCAAGCTCAGTTCTTCGACAAGACAGCCTTGTGAGATGACACAAGGCAGGTGACTTATTCCTAGACAGACTGTGCAGGAAACAGCAACATCCATTTAAATTTCTCTTATAAGTCTGGACAGAATAGTGATCCTACACTAAGGAAATATGCAATGGGTCAAAGGGGTTGTAATACCTCATTCCTTTAAAGTGTTAGCCTACATAACTTCAGGTAGAAATCAAGGGTACATGATTTGACACTTACTACCCATGGTAGTATGTGTTTCTCAGAAAGCTGAGAAACAGACCAGTTTCTGTGTTTACGTGTTTGTTTCTTTTGTGCAGGACACTTTATCCATTTGCTCCAGACAACATTCAGTGGGCCTCCTGTATGTTGTTCAATGAAGTAGTTACCAGCTATTACAAGGGGACCCCACCTCAAAATGTCCTTCCCTGATTAAAGGGCATGATAAACCCAACAAACGAACAAATGATGAGTCAAGCCTGTATTACACAATAACTATAACATCTAGGTGAACCAAGCCAGTGAAATAGAACCTACATTTCTGTGAATTTCTACACTCTAAAATACATATTACAGTATCATGAATTATCATTTTTATCCTGCAATAAGAATGCGCCTGGCAATGACCCCGTCTATACTGTGATTACAAAAATCCTAACACAAGCTATTTCACTTTCCTGTAATGAACCATTAAGTACCCTGATGATAGGTTGTCCATATGAGCTTACTGAAAGATGAATGTGGTAATCAAAATGATTTATTATCATAGACCAAAATTTAAACAAAGATTAAACTTATATGATAGATGTGAAATTAAATTTAGGAACTAATTTGTTAAGATTGAGACAATATGCCAGGTTCACTGACTAATATTAGGTTTAAATAACTAGTACATGATTTACAGTATAAATAGTTTATATTTTAATAAAGATACGATCTAGTGTATACTCCAAGTGCAGTTAAATTTCTCACAGCTAATCAATGTTACAGCTATATTCAGGATTTACAATAAAGTTTGGATCTTATCATAGAGATAATCATCTAAAATCTCTGAAATGAGAAAAATGTAATTGTCTCCTGAAATTGAAACTGATCTAAAGCCCACTCTATACTCATGTAAATATTGCACCATGGATAACAACATAAGAATAATTGAATGTCTTGGAGACAAGATATTTTGCCTTTATCTACAAAACACCCTGTAAACCATATTTTTTCATGGGTCTCATATTTTGTGGTTTTCCAAAATTATACATTTTTGTTGGTACTTGATTTCATGGTTAAATCTAGATCACAAAATCCACTCGTACTAAAATCCATGTCTACTTTCATATTTTAATAATTTTGTCAATATATATATATATTTGTGGAAATCTAGCTAGAATACAAACTAATTCAATGAAAATATTCCTGGAAATTTAGCTAGAATTCCCACTAATTCCATGAAGATATTCGTGGAAATTAGCTAGAATACCCACTAATTGAATGAAAATATTCGTAGAAATTTAACTAGAATACACACTAATTCAATGAAAATATTCATGGAAATTTAGCTAGAATTCCCACTAATTCAATGAAAATATTCATGGAAATTTAGCTAGAATACACACTAATTCAATGAAAATATTCATGGAAATTAGCTAGAATACACACTAATTCAATGAAAATATTCATGGAAATTTAGCTAGAATTCCCACTAATTCAATGAAAATATTCATGGAAATTTAGCTAGAATTCCCACTAATTCGATGAAAATATTCATGGAAATTTAGCTAGAATTCCCACAAAAAAATTCAATGAAAATTTTCATGGAATTTTTGCTAGAATACCCACTAAATTAATGAAAATATTCATGGAAATTTAGCTAAATAACCACTAATTCCATGAAAATATTCATGGAAATTAGCTAGAATACACACTAATTCAATGAAAATATTCCTGGAAATTTAGCTAGAATTCCCACTAATTCAATGAAAATATTCCTGGAAATTTAGCTAGAATACACACGATGAAAATATATCCTCCATAAAAATTAATGTTATAATAGTAACTGGATTGTCTGACAGAAATGATATAACAATATCATGTAAAGAAATAAAAAAAAAAAAAACATCATTACAGCATATCTTGAATAGACATGTAGGATACCGATTTATCTATCAGCCTGTCTAATGCATTATGGGATATCGCAAAAGTGATCAATATCTACATTTGATAGTAGGTACTCTGACCATATAACTGACAGATATTTGTATCGGTATTGTTTTAAGATGGCTTTGAGGCCAGACAAATCAGAAACATCCTTTAAACCCTGAAAGTCTGGTCCAGTAAAAATCAATCCTGCTATCGTAAGTTGACTTTTGACTGCAGACTTGTGGGGTGTGCAAGTTCACATTTCTCATACGGTATAGACAGAGATTAATACTGTGACAAGACAAGTGAATATCCTGGTAGTAAGTTTGTGATGGGACAGACAAATCAAAATGAACAGGCCTTCCAACATTAAAGGGACTTAAATGTGTCCTTTCTGTATAACATACCCAAAGTCATTGCTGTCAGGTTAAATAAGCCCATCCTTCATGTTGATGCAGAAAGTCATTTAAAGTTTCTTAACCAACCTTTAACAAGCTAACCCAACCCTCTACTTTGAGTCAGAATATGTCAAACTTATGACATTAATGCTGAATAAATTAATGGGTTATGCTACCCCTTCTGTGACTTCATGTCCACAAGACTTTCACACCTGAAAACTGGTGAAATGTTAGATTTTTATTCTAAAATGGCTGAACTCCAGGCCCCACTTGTATAAAACATCTCAACTTGAGATTTCCTCAAGTCGAGATTTTCCTCAGCGGATATCTCCTTGAAAATGGCTTGTATAAAATTTTCTCAAGGAACAGGAGGAAGTCATCGGCTAGGATGTCCTGAAATTCCTTGAGGAATTTTCATACAAGATATTTTCAAGGAGATATTTGCTGAGGAAAATATGGGCTTGAGGAAATCTTAAATTGAGATATTTTATACAAGTGGGGCCAGGTACCTTAAGATCAAGATGAAAATGTCTTATTCTATCTGATAGTACTGACAAGAATGATTATAGATGTCTATTCAGGACCATTGCTGTCAGTTTTTCCTAGTCTTGTCAATGTTGTGTATTGATTGCCTTTATTCCAATGCAAATCACATTGCTTCAAATTTTTTATAAAAAGCATTGGTGACCTTGACCTTTCAGACATTAAACACTCCTAAAATGCTATTCTTGTGCCAATACTGATCTGAATCCTTGAAGACACAATGTTCCTGATGCAACTTATAGAAAGTGAATGACCTAACATTTAAATGTGTAGCTATAGAAGAGGTGTTTAAAGTAAAAGAAATGTTAGAGGAGCAATTCATTAGCCACAGAATTATGTATTGATCTTGCAGGAACAGGTTTGGGGATTGAAGGAAGGGAGATAACTGATGCTCACACATGGAGCTGGAAGGAATGGCTTTTGAGGTTACAGAAGGGGAGATAACCAACTCTCGTCTGTGGAGCTGAGAGGAACAAGCTTAGGAGTTTACAAACGGCAGAAAACGGACACTTTCATGTAGAGCTGAGGGACAATTTAGGTGTTTCAGAAGGAGAGAAAACTGCCACTTACCTGTGGAGCTGGAAGGGATGGGTTTCTGGGTGGAGGAAGACGAGGGTTCTTCCATCTTCACCACTCGTGTCCCTCACCGTGGTGGTCTGCTTTTTACATGCTTATCTGGAAAACATAAACACATGATAAGAAAGACATCTTTCTATCATATTTCCATGAATTAAATATCCTTGGTCATAATATCATTCTCAAACAAAAACAAACTTATCGTACTTTGGAAACGATGGGATAATATTTGATTGGGAATGAATTGTCTGAGTGGGATCATAAATCCTTGTATATATATATGTGTGTGTACAAGATATAGTGTATAGTTACCTGGTGATCTCAGATGGGAGGCTCAAACAGGAATATTATATAAGATATTGATTATTTATTTCATTGACTCTGCTAGGAACCTGAGACCTCTGATTTTCTAGTCCTACACTACAGTGATTGAGCTATGTAGAATGAGATACCTTTTACCAGGGCAAGATGTAGAGTTCTCCCCTTCATAGGTACAACTCAAGTTTCCAGGTAGAACAACTTTGCTTAAGAAAGTATACTTAATGTCCTGGTATTTTTGTCAATATTTCCCCAACCCCTCCATGGATTCCAATGTCGTCAAGGTCAACCTGTGATCCCTGGTTTGATAGCGAGATAATAGAGTCAGAGGGAAACACCGACTATCTTATCAGGGTAACAAATTTGGGATATTATAGTAAAATCTGAGTCTGCTACAACTCATATCACGAGTAATACCTGGTATAACTTTATCAGCATCTTTCCTGTCACAAAATGAATGATACATATTTCTGGATTCTGATCATATATATGTTCAATTGTATACATGATGACCTGCAAATTTTATTATTTATAAGAATAAAATTTTTCCCTTTCTAAAATCATTTTTCTTATGAACATGACGTAACTTGTTACAACTCAATATTTCATTAAAGAAAGCTAAAACTGGAGTAAATGTGATTTGTGATAGTATTTATAGAACAATTTGATTATCAAATATCACCAACAAAACAAATCCTGCATTCCAAAGAGTGTTTACGAAGCAGTGAATGCATTTCCCCTGAAGTTTAAAGGTGATATTAAGTTCTAACGTGACGACCAACGATGCTTCGTGAGATGCTATATTGAATAAGCAATACCCAATCAATACAGGTTATACATAATATTGCTCAAACACAACTTACATGAAAATATGGTAATTTTTGCAAACGTTTTTTTTTTCTGAGAAAAATTAGACAAATAAAAACATGCTGTCAAAGCTCTATACATTATTGTTCTATTTCTACATACACAACTAATACGATATTGTAATCCTAGACAATTGAAAGAAACATAATTACATAAACATGAAATTTACATGTACAGTAAAAGATAACAGCTAATTTTCACATCAGAATTCCCTGCAGACACCAGAGCTTTCACAGATGGTTGGATTAGAGCTGATATATGCAATGCTGCAAAGGCCAAAGACCTTAATCAAATATAGAAATGCATAGGTACTATGGTTTATATGCACTTCTATAAAATTGATTGTAACCAACCAAATCCTACGGTGATATAAATAAACAGTACAAAGAACACCCATCTATGTAAACATTACAGATTTTCAATAACAGATTTTTTTTCTTCTATCGACAGAAACAGCATACCATTCTGTGGAAATCTGAATCTTTCTAGAAAGGAGTTCAGAAATTGAAACAATGTCACAATATACCTGTTCATATGAACATTTGACAGAATATCTCTCCTGATGTAGTTTCTCTGAAAATTACATTTATGGCCAATGTCTGCTGTGGTGATTGTATGTACAGTAAGATGGGATGTCTGTTGTGGTGTGGTAATCCATCAATTGACAATGAATTACATAGTTAACAACATATATAGTGCAAAAATTATGCTTTAATGGAAAATTTCATATACTGACCCAAGTGGAGTATATATATATATGGGATATTTAATGGTTTTCTGTTTAATTTCGAATACATTTTAATAATATGACAGAATAACTGCATTGGCAAGTGCCAAGCATGACTGAAAAATGATTAATGAATCCATGAAATTTTCAATTTATTCCATTTTAGATGGAAAACTGATGAAAAGAGAAAAAAATATAAGATCCAAAACAAAGTATTTAAAAAAGTTCAATATATGTCCTGTTTAATGTGTGATTGTGTGAAATAACATTTGTAAACAACACAATGCCATTTGAATGAGCTGCTTTATAAGGTAACTGCTATCATTTTGTGCTGTTATCTGCAAAGAATTGTTTACAAAACTGTACATACCAAATCAGAGAAACCTCACAATACAAAAGGACAGATATTGTGGTAAACCAACTTATTCAACCACCGCTTCATTTGTGTCTGAACAAAAAAATTGATAAACTTCAATCTGAAACTAGAAAGCAGTACTCTGATTGGTCAAAAAAAGTCAGGGAAAAGTTGTATCATCACTAGTGACGCAATAAGTTTTTTTTATATCATCACAGCTGTAATGATGTAGGTTTTTATCAAAATAATGAATTCCTTTATTTTACTGGCAAAAATGTCATAAAACACTTATCTACCAGATCCTTGACAATGATATAAAAAGCCTTATTGATTAATGGATTAACCTAGGACATCAATAGATGTACAAAACTGCCAACAAAGTCAAACTTTGCATCAATATTCAGCAGCATAACAAACAAAGCCAAACCCAGACACAATATCTACCAAACAGGACAGCAACATTCTAATTCTTGATCATGATTTCCATTAATATCCTTTGATGGTAGAAATATACTTGTAAATCAATTAACATTAGCATTAACTCCCTAATTAACAGGATAAGATAATAGATAAATCATGGCAGTACCGTTTGATGTCACGATTAGAAGCTTTCAAGGAGCAAAAGACAAACTTATGTATAATGACCAGGAAATTGAAGAGTCTTCTAAAGCAAATTTCAGAATCTGAAACTTGAATGGTCCAGTTGAAGGTAAAATAGACAATATCAGTGAAAGGCTATTCTGAAATAGACTATACCCAATATAACAATAGTTCCCTCCCCATGTTTATATGAAATACAGTCAAACCCACTTAATTTAAACTCCGATATACTGAAATATTGCTCCTTTTAAAACAAAATAATATCCCCAACTAAATATCTTCTTCGTCTTTGTATTTATACACTGCTTAATTTGAACTCAGCTAATTTGAAATCTTGCTTTATTTGAAAGGTAAATTCCATCTCTCTGCAACACAAAGTCATTGTTTTCACACTGCTTAATTTGGAAGCCACTGTGACCCATTATTGAAGGTGTCGTCAGGCTTTGGTGATTACAATATCAATAGCCAGGTAAAAGTCTAATACAACGGTGATAAATTGTGAGTGTTAATCAGTGAGTTGTGTTTGCTATTCGAACCCCAGCCTAAGTCAGTCTACATTAGAATAGAAAACAATGGCAGTTGTAATGACTTACTCCAGTAAAAAACATAAACAACTTATGATCGACAAAAACTATGAACTAATTTGACCTGTTGATCGAAAGGTAAAAGAGTTATTGCAAGTGATTTCGGAATCGATCCAAGTACACTCAGAGATTTTGAAGAGTCGGGATGTGATTTTGGAAGCCAGTCAAACAGGAAATATTTCTCAGAAACGTAAAAGGTGAAGATACATTATCCTTGAAGATATCGAAAATGCTGCAGTGAATAAAGAAACAGTCTATGACTGGATCGAAGGAAAAAAAAACAACCTGTCCGATGAAGCATGGGGAAATGAACCGGAGGGTCAAAATACCATAATGGTGGAATGAACTGCGATTCACTTTACCATGGGCTTAACTTAACAATGCTACACCGGGTAGCATATTGAAATTCAAGCCAAATGATATTTTTAATGCAGATGAGACTGGTTTGTTTTCTAAATGTGGACCAGAAAAATCATTTAATTTGAAGGGTGAAAAACCTTAAATGAAGATATATTGTATTTTGTTTGTTGCATATACACATATTTTACTTGTATCGTACACTATTTTACCTGTCGATAAGATGTTCCTTGAACAGCAAAAAAAGTCTAACAAGCTTGTGCTGGTGTAGCATGGTACACCAGGTTATACTGAAACCCTGATAATTTGAAGTATTTTATCATTCCCCAAGGATTTCAATATAAGCGGGTTTGACTTTATAGGGAAATAAGGATAGATTCTTGCTTACTTTAACTTTGACTAAAAAAAATACCAAATCCAAACATGTGGCTGTGCACATGCAACCATTTTCAATGCCTGCTTTGATATTACTAACAATATAGCGTAGTTCTTAAAAAAGTTCTTTTATCAAGAGATCTCTCTGATCAGGATCATATGGACAAAACTAGACAGCACTGGTAACTTACATCTATATAAAATCTGAGAATGATTCATTCTGTTCTTCTCAAGGAAAAGCATCAACAAGTTCTCATACTTAAAATCAAAGATGGCCAACTATCAGCCATTTAGTTTTCCTGTGATCTGTCCCAAAATCAAAAGGAAACAACCAGAAATCAATTGGGAGCACCCATAAAATCGGAGAAAGATCCATAAAACACTTCTCAAGAAATCGTGCTAACAAACTTTCACTGTCAAAATTCACGATCCTGTCAGCCATTTGGTTTTTATATTACCAGACTCCTAAAATGGAAAGGACACAACTTTTGCACAAAACTTGATAAAGATCCATCTTGTACTTTGTAAGAAAAAGAAATCTAAAGAATTATCAAAGGAAAGAAAACCAACTTTCACTGTCATATGGTTCTGAAAAGCTACATCATATCAACTGTTGTCTCTCAACTATACACTCAAGAGTGCAAAAAGAGAATTAACTGTCAATGTTACAGCTGTAAGTCACCTCTTCTGATTAAAGAGAGGAATACAAGACAGGCCAATTCGTTGTTTCAGAATTTGCAAAACAATTCATCCTAAAAATTCCCATTGTCTTTTTTTCTACTTAAAAATTAAGGCTATTGGTACTTTGGATCTCCATTTCATTCAACAAAAATGAAAATATTCCATCTCCATTTTTTGTCTTCCTA